GGTCACCAAAGTTTCTTTTGACATTTTTCCGTTCGTTTTTCTCACATTTTTTACCATTTTTCCAGTGATATTTTGGCGACAAAGAGACCGGGTGTCATTAGGTTGATTACAGAACACACACACACACACACAGGTAATCGATACCTATTACACCCTGAGTAAATACAAATTTTGATTTTGTTTTAAAATGAAATGAAAAAAAAATATGGAAATAAAAGTCGATAATTGAAAAAATAAACAAACGAAAAACATTGAAAAAACTGAAAAAACACAGAAAAACACTGAAAAACACACACACACAAAATGGCCATAAATTGAACAACGGAATTTTGAAAAATTGAAAATTTTCAGCAAAATTCTGTGTGAGAAAATTATTTCGTGTTTTTTTTGGCCAGGTAAACTTGCAAAAAAAAACTTAAAGATAAGACTAGGTAAACATCGAAATTTTAAAAAGATTTTTTCTTTTTTTGTTTAAAATGATTATTTCGTAGAAAAAACGAAGAAAACGAAAAGTGCAATCTTGTCACAATTACCGAAAGTAAAGAAGGAAAGAAGCAAAGATATCCATTATGAACATTTTCATTTTCAATTCATTCAAGCATTTTTTATTTGTTTATTTGTTGACAATTATCACAACTGAATTGAATGAATGAATGAATGAATGATGATGGCTAATTTTATTCTAATCTTATTTGATGAATCTTTCTTGAAATGAAAAGAAATGATGATTGAAAAAAGGAGCCCGGTAACTTTTTTTTGATTATGGGTGACCCATTATGTTTAATGNTTTTCCGTTCGTTTTTCTCACATTTTTTACCATTTTTCCAGTGATATTTTGGCGACAAAGAGACCGGGTGTCATTAGGTTGATTACAGCAAAAAACAAAACAGAACACACACACACACACAGGTAATCGATACCTATTACACCCTGAGTAAATACAAAATTTTTTTTGTTTTAAAATGAAATGAAAATAAAAATATGGAAATAAAAGTCGATAATTGAAAAAATAAACAAACGAAAACAAAAAACATTGAAAAAACACTGAAAAACACACAAATGGCCATAAATTGAACAACGGAATTTTGAAAAATTGAAAATTGAAAACTTTAAAACGAAATTCTGTGTGAGAAAATTATTTTGTTTTTGGCCAGGTAAACTTGATGATAAGACTAGGTAAACATCGAAATTTTTGAAAAAGATTTTTTCTTTTTTTTTCTTTTTGTTGCTTGAAATGATGATTACCTGATGACGAAAACGAAACGAAAAAAACGAAAAGTGCAATCTTGTCACAATTACCGAAAGTAAAGAAGGAAAGGAAAGAAAGATATTCATTTTCAATTCATTCAAGCATTTTTTATTTGTTTATTTGTTGACAATTATCACAACTGAATTGAATGAATGAATGAATGATGATGGCTAATTTTATTCTAATCTTATTTGATGAATCTTTCTTGAATTGAAATGAAATGATGATTGAAAAAAGGAGCCCGGTAACTTTTTTGATTATGGGTGACCCATTATGTTTAATGATCAAGCATCATGGATGATAAGAAAAGAAAAATGATGATGATGACAATCATCGACGAACATCAATCTTTCTCGCTCTATCTTCCTGATGATGGATGGATGGATGGCTGGATAGCTGTTGTTAGCACCTTAGTTCATTTTCGTTTAAAATTTCAAGAAAAAATGATAAAAATTCTTTTTAAAAAATCAATTTTATCATTTTTTAAAAAAAGAAAAAGATAATGGTAATGGATGACCATCATCACTTTGTTTTCTTTTTTTTTGTTTGCTTGAAAAAGGTAATTATTATTTATTAGCTGAATAAGCAAAGAAAACAACAACAACAACAAAAATGAAGAAATTCCATTTACATAACATTGAATGAATGAATGAATGATAAATAATTCTTTGATTTAAGCAGGCTAACGACAACAACGAAAAAAGTTCATCGACCAATCTTTCATTTATCTTTTTTTTTCTTGAATTAACCATTTTGTGTGTGTGCGGACTATAAGATCAAAGTTCGTTTAAATTAACCAAACAAGCAACCAACCAAACAAACAAACAACCAAACCAAAAAACATTGAATGGAGAATACCAAATGATTCATTTCCATCCATTACCATTCCATTTATAAGCATCTTTATAGAATTAGTTATTAAATAACAAACTCAGCGATAGATAGGATAGGAATCCAACAAAACATCAACATCATTATTATCATGCATAAAAAATCTGATCCGATCACGAAAGATTTTCCACAATCAAACAATCAAACAAACAAACATTTAGTTTTACCCCAAAAAAATGTTGATTTCTGATTGGTCAGACTTACTTCTTTCATTTTGATCTGATGATGATGCTATTTACCCAAAGATGCTAACCCCTCAGCCAGCCAGTCAATCAACAAGATAATACAAGAAGAAAGACCACCCAAAAATTTTTGAATTTTTTTCTGATTGAATCATCTGATTGAATGAAAAATTTAAATTTCAAGCAAAAAATAATCAGCAGATTGAATTGTATCAGCAGCCAAAACATCAAGAATCAAACATCATAATCATCGACACAAAGACCATGACCGATCATCTTTGATGGCCAAATGAAGAAAAAAAACGTGGCCAAAAAAAATCTTAATGAAGACATCAACGCTTTTTTGTTTGGTGTTTGGTTGAGGGGGGAGAGTTTTTCGGGTACCACCATCCGGATTTGTAATCATCAAAGCCTGTAATTGACTTTTTCTTGTGGTCTCATCATCACTATCATTTTGTTGTTGTTGTTGTTGTTGTCGTCCACAGTGTTAATAATAATGATGATTATTAAGTTAGTGTTCAAGATCAAGATCAATTTGAAAATCCAGAAAATCAAATCAAACATCGTGATCATATTCGTGATATTCACATTAGAAATGGTTTTTTTTCTTTTCTTTTCTTCAGAAAGATCATCATCAAGGATGATGATGGTACATTCCAATGATCAACAACCAAACAACAAAAAAAAACAAATATCAAAGAATCGGACTATTTCTACCCTTGTGTGTGTGCAAATGAAAGATATATGATTATAATGATGATGATGAACTCTATATTACCGAAAACGTTTGAACGAAAATCAAAAATTCTTTTCAGGTAAAAGGTGATATTAGTCTAAACACAGAAGCGCGAAATGTGTGTGTGTGTTTGTGCTGGTATTTAGAAAAGGAATATATTTTTTCTATGGAGAAAAAAAATCTACAAATAATAGACTTTGAAATATTCAAATATTCATTTCATTCATAACTATTATGGGAAACGAAACGAAACGAGAGAAAATTACTGCTATGAAAATTATAACATATATCATTGATAATCCATCTTTTTCTCTCTTTTTCAAAAAAACTATTAGACTATCGATACCCAACTAATAATCGATTATAAAAACAACACTGGATGATGATAATGATAAAGCAGATGATGAATGAGAAGGAAACAAAACAAAACATAAAAAAATGCCGACAAAGGTTATAATAGCCGGCAGCAGCAGCAGCAGTGAAAATAAAAAACACCGGTTACAGAAACAATTTATTAATGAAGAAATCAAATATATACACCTTTTTATATATAGAAAGATAGGTATAGATAACGGATAATGATGGTCGTAATAATCGATATATCGATTGTTTGTGTATTTGAATTTTTCATTTTAAAAGTAATGATAAAAAACGTGACCCAAGAGCTGTAAACAAAAAAATGTGTTTGTTGTTGTTGTTTGATTATGTTATGTTATGTTTTTACCTGGCCAATGTTGTTGTTGTTATTGAAGAGACATTCTGTATTAGAAAAACATGTTCGGTATATTATGATTCGATGATTCGATGATGATGATGACCACCAAGATCGTCGCCTATTTTTTTCCCTGTTTGTTTGGTTGAAATATGTACCTCTATATATATATCGATTAGAGAGATCGATATTGAAGAGATTGGGAAAAAAAATTCTTCCATAACAACAACAGCAAACAAACAAACAAAAGAATGACCGTCGTCTTGTTCGATCTATTATCGTCGGTATATTGGGCATGTATATATTGTGGCGGCGTTTTTCAAAAAAAGAAAACTTGACTAAAATGAAAGATTTGGACGTTTTGTGTGAAAATAGACCTCACACTTTCTTTTTTTCCCCATTTGCTTGCTATTGCTGCTGGTCAAACAAAAGAACCAGGCGAAAAAACTGAAAAACCAAAAAATAAGAATAGAGGATATATTCCGACAAGCGCAATTCTCCCTCTCTCACCTTTTTCATTCATTCATTGAAAGATTACCACCACCAATAATAATAATGTTTCCATTTTTTTCTTCTGTTGTTCTGTGGGTCAATTTATTACAAATTACCTGTATATATATTTACAAATAAAGGAATATTCATTATTTGGAAAATTATTTTATTAAAGGATCTTCTATTTCAACCCTCGTCGTTGTTTTTTTTTCTTTCTAATCTTCCTTTGAATGGCGGTTGAAGTGGTCGATGATGATGAAGATTAATTATCATCATCATCATCAATAGAAGAAAGGAACCACCATTCAAAATACCTGAAACATAAGATGATAATTAACTTATAAACCATATATATGTGTGTGTCTAATGTTCAAAGCTAATTACACACACAAAAATTTTCTTTTTACTTCTTTTATTGAAATTTTCAAAAAATTTTAAAATTCAAAATTCTCGACCACCAGGCGCCATCTTTTGGATGAAGATGGAAAAATGTTTCAAATTTTTTGTTGTTCAAAAATCAGTTTTTTTAATTAGTTTTTTTTTTTTTGGTTTTCAAACCGAAAAAAAATCCAATTATTATCCATAATCACACCACCTGCCTATAAAATTTCAATTTTTTTCTCTAGTTAGGTAAATACTGATAAATGATTGATAAATCGATTCGGTAAAAACAAAAAAATCAAATTGAATTTGATTTTGCTATATAAATAGCAAGCTTGTTAATGATTTTTTGTTTTTTATCAATTTCAATTTCGAAAATCAAAAGTGAAAAATCCAAAAACAAAAACAAAAAATGAAAATGAAATTTGCATTGATTATCATATTTTTCCTATTCAGTTCAGGAATCAATGGTAAGTTCCCTGGAAATTTCCTGAAAAGATTTTCTTGAAAATTTCTCTTTTTTGAAGGAAGCAGATTTGCCCGACCCGATAATTATCATGATATTATGGTTTTGATCAATGGCCGTGCATTACCAGCACAAAGTGCAGTAAATTTACCAAATATTTTGGTTACAAATAAACAAACTGGTCAGGAAATACCATTACGAATTGGTATACGAAAAATATTAACGGAAAATGAATCGGAAAATCATGGTAGCGGTGGCGGCAGTAGTAATAATCATGGAAGCGGTGACGGCGGTAGTAATAATCATGGTAGCGGTGGCGGCGGTAATGATCATGGAAGCGGTGGCGGCGGTAGTAATAATCATGGAAGCGGTGGCGGTAGCAATCATGGTAGCAGTGGCGGCGGTAGTGATCATGATGGTAAAAATGGCAGTAATGGTATATTGATTATTGAAATGTAAACATCCGAATTACAGATTTCAGCATGCAAAAGTTTGTTTTTTACGTTTTGTTTGTTTGAATTCAATCAAAATAAAATCAATCTTTACCTGAAAACAAGTTACTATGACAACAACAACCATTATTCTCTTTTTTTTGTTGTTGTTTACCTGGTGGCAGGTGCAGCAGTTGAATAATTTCATTCACTTCGCGTGTGTGTGTGTGTTCAGGTTTACCTGCCTACCTTGCTTTTGTTGAGTGCATCAATTTCTTTGATTTTGATGCGTTTGTTTATATCTGATGTGTAATGTGTGGATGTGTTTGACATCAATCAATACATTAAATGATTGGCCAGTATGGATAATACTAATTACCTGTTGATATTTGTAATTTTTTGTAATTTTTATTGTAAGTTTTTTTTTAAAATTAACCCTTCGTTTGAATTCAATTGATTTTTTTATGATTTTTTCTTTATTACAAATGGTCAAAATAAGTAACATTTGTATCAAGTTATGAATGTTATGTTTGTAAAGATCAAGATGATAATAATGGTAAATGTATTCGTACTGTTCGTACTTGTAATTTAGATGATAATAGCTGTATGACTATTGTACGATGGGGAAGTAAGTGTTTGTTTGATTCTTTGCTGTGTTTTTTGATTTTCCGCAAATGAAATAATCTAATTTTTTTTTTAACACATAGGTACACCTTATTGGGATCCAACTGGACAGAAACAATATTATATATCGAAAAAATGTGCAACATTGGTAAAATAAATGATTTTCTGTTCTTGATTAAACTTTGTTTGATTTTTCAACAATATTTTTTCCCCCCTTCATAGTCACAATGTCAAGAAGCAAGTAAAAATTCAAGTCGTCGTTGTGATCGTATTTGGTATAATGATTGGGAATGTGTTGAATGTTGTACTGGTGATCGTTGTAATTATTATGTTACCGTAAGCAGTTAAATCATCTTTGCTTTTTCATCAATATTTTTGATTATTTTTTTCGTTCAAATTTAGCTGGGAACATCAACAATCAATGGCAATATGGCCGTTATTAGCATGTCGATTGCTGCCTTTATAATCTTACAAAGATATTATTTTAGATAGCCATAATCAATCATCGATAATGAAAAAATTCACATTCACATTTTGTAATTTGTAATTAATCATGCATTAATTTAACTCACTTTTTTCTGCATTTTTTATATTTAAATTTTTTTGAAAAAGCTGAAAATGAATAAAAATTTTTTTGTTCGAATGAATGAACGACATTTATGAATGTTGTTATTCTGGGCTTCACATGTGCTTCGAATTTTTCTAACAATTTTTTTTTCAGATTTTTGATTTCATCAAAAAAAAAGTTCATTAAAATTTACATTTTTTTCTTATCTTCATTCGCATTTACGGTAACGAATGCCATTGGGTACACATCAGAAAATCTTTCTGGGCTGGTAAGTGTTTTTTTTTGTTGTTGTTGATCTTGTCTAACAACCATTTCATTCTACTAAATCCAAGGCTATTTTTCGGTTCATTTGGTATTGCCAGTTTTGTTTACATTAAAAGTGGTTATTTTATTGATCGTGATGAAGCAATAAAAGTACGGGAAAAAATTCGACAAAAACTTGAAGAAGAAGATAAATAATAAAAAAAAATCGTTCCATTTACAAAAATCAACTTTCAAAATATAAATCATAACCATCAAGGAAACATAAATCAACAAAAAAAAACATGGCTGCACCACAATTTAATCTTGATCCATCTAAAATGCAAATAATCAATGAATTAGAAGTTGAAATGGTTGCCGATATGTATAATCGTATGACACGTGCATGTCGTCTAAAATGTATCGTTCGTAAATATAAAGATTCTGAATTAAGTAAAGGTGAATCAGTTTGTATTGATCGTTGTGTAGCAAAATATTTAGATATACATGATAAAATTGGTAAAAAATTAAATTCATTATCACATATGGATGAAGAAGCAGCAAAAAAATTACAACAAGAACAACAACAACTGTTACAACAACAACAACAAATGCAGACCAAATGATCAATGTTTTATAGCCAATTTCTATGATAATTGAAAAAAAAATTTTAGAATGAATGAAATAAATATAGAATTCTCGTCAAACTTTTTTTCGGATCATATTGACTTTAATAATTAATTAATAATAATCAATTCACATAATTTCAATACATTTTTCTCATTTTGATTTTTCCGATTCTGTTGGTGGTGGTGGTGGTTGTGATGATCCATCTTTACGAACACTATCATCTGGTTTCATAGCCGGAAAAAATAAAACTTCTTTAATATTATTTGTATCCGTAAGATACATTGTTAAACGATCAATACCAATACCAACACCACCAGTTGGTGGTAAACCAAATTCTAATGCCTGGCAAAAATTTTCATCAATTAATTGTGCTTCATCATCACCGGCTGCTTTATCACGTGCTTGTTGTTCAAAACGTTGTCGTTGTACAAACGGATCATTTAATTCAGTATAACCATTAACAATTTCTTTATGATGAACGAATAATTCAAAACGTTCAGTCAAACCTGGTTTTGTACGATGATATTTCGACAATGGTGACATAACAATTGGATGTTCAGTAATGAAAGTTGGATGAATAATTTGATCTTCAATAAAATGACCAACTAATTTATCTAATAAACGAGCACTTGTACGTGGTGGTGGACATTCAATTTCATGTTTTGCGCATAAATCCGATAATAATTTATTTGCTTCAGGTTGATCTAATTCAGTTGCTGGTGGTAATTTTATATTTAATTGATTTTCTAATTCTTCCATCATTTGTATTTTACGAAATGGTGGACGAAAACTAATTGTTACTGGTGGTGTTTCAGAATCCGATCCATCCGGATGATAGGATATTTCATATTTACCATACAATTGATATACTAAACCGGATAACATTTTTTCAACCATTTCCATTAGATCATTATAATCAGCATAAGCAATATAAAATTCACATGTAGTAAATTCAGGATTATGTGTTAAATCGATACCTTCATTACGAAATTGGCGGCCAATTTCATAAACACGATCAAGGCCACCAACAACCAACATTTTCAAATATAATTCCGGTGCAATACGCATAAATAAATCCATATTCAATTCATTATGATGAGTAACAAATGGTTTAGCTGTAGCACCACCAGCAATCATATTCATCATTGGTGTTTCCACCTCAAGAAAACCCATTCGGTCAAGAAATTCACGAACATAACGAATGACACATGCTCTGGTAACAAATTTATTACGTGTCGATTCATTAACAATAAGATCTAGATAACGTTGTCGATATCTTTTTTCTTTATCTTTAAGTCCATAATGAAGATTAGGCAGCATATGTAAACATGGTGTCAATAGGGCAAGTTTTTTCGGCATAATACTTAATTCACCTTTTTTCGTTTTACATGGATGACCAAGTGCACCAACAATATCACCACGATGAATACGGCCATTTATTCGTTGAAATTCATCATCATCCAAATAATAACGAGCATTAGCCATTACTTGAATTTTGGTTCCTTCACCACGCAAATCATAGAATATTAGTTTCGAGCCTGATTCACGTTTTGAATAAATTCTTCCAGCTACGGATACTTCAACATCATCACGAATTTCACCATCATTCAATGATGAATATTTTTCAATAAAATCATTCAATGAAATTGATACATGAAATTTATGTGGATAAGGATTTTCACCCGATTCACGCCATTCAATAATTTCTTTCGAACGATTTTCATGATATTCATTCGGATCTAATTCTTCATCACTTTTTACTTTTGCTTTATCGGTTGCTGAAGAAGGACTTTGCTGTTGTTGTGCTGCTGCTACCGCCACAGGTTCATTTTGTTTCAATTTAGCTTTTTCTTCTTTCATTTTTTCCAATTTTTGTTGTTTTAATCTTCGTTTCAGTTCATTCTTGCTTAATTTTTCTTCACCACCTAATGATATCGGCGGTTGTTGTTGATCTGAATTACTACTCATCATGTAAGCCGGTAATCGATAAATTAATTCAGATTTTGAAATTAAATTTGTATTTTGATTGACAATAAATTTATTGAGTACACTAATTCGTCGTACAAAAGTAATAAACATTCAGCCAAACCAAACCAAACGAAAATATTTTTGTCTTCAAAATTCGACCATGTGGAACGTCGTGAATTACCTGACTCAATATAAAAATGATGAACGCGTGGATATATCAACATAACATTAAACTTTTATTATACATTTTTATACATTGAAAGTATCGATCGAAAAAATCACAAAAAAAATTCCATTGTATAACATTGGCAAAAACGAAAAAAAAAGCCAAAACCAATTTCCAAAGAATGAGGCCGGGCGTTTAATTATTTAAAGACATGCGCATTCCAAACATTCGAACACCAAAAAAAGATATTGCTGCTGCTGCTGTTGTTTGTTTGGTTATGTGGCTGACTAAGCTTTTTGCCCTGAATTGAAATGAAATGAAATGAATCAATCTGAATGAATGCCGACGACACTGTTTTTTGGTATTTGGTTAACAATATTATCGAATCAAATCAAATCGATCAGCAGCAGCAAAAATATTGAAAAAAAACAAATCTGGCTACCAAAAAAACAGTTAAACGGATGTGTTTGCCATTTGTTTGATACATTGCTGCTTGTTATCATTGTCAATTTTTTGTTAGGATTTTGACGACGACGACGACGGCCATCATCAAAATCGCTGTTTTGTGTTATCAATCGACAACGTTATCGATTTTTTTTTCGTTTGTTTGTTTGTTGTTGTTACAGGTGTAAAAACAACTAAATGTTATACATCACCACACCTAGTAATAATCTATTTTGGATTTTGAATTGATTTTTGTTTTTTGTTTTGAAATTCTTTTTCTTCACTTGGAACGTGAATATTCTTAATAATTTTGTGCTCAATTCAATAAATAAATTGTGAATATAAAAAAAAACATGACAAAACAAACGCCTGCCATCGTTATTGATAATGGAACAGGGTATGTATGAAAATTTTTTTTTGAAATTATCGAAATTTATTAATTAATCGGATTTTTAGTTATACAAAAATGGGATATTCCGGTAATCGTGAACCAAATTTTATAATACCATCAGCAATAGCTATAAAAGAAACATCAAAAGTTGGTGATCAAGCATCAAGACGTTTAGCACGTGGTGTTGATGATTTAGATTTTTTTATCGGTGATGAAGCATTAGATTCAACTGGATATTCAGTAAAGGTATTAAGTTTTTTTCATTGAGATTATTGACAAAATAGTAATAATTTTTAATTTTTTTGATCAACGAAATCCAGTATCCAATTCGTCATGGAATTGTTGAAGATTGGGATCTAATGGAACGTTATTGGGAACAATGTATATTCAAATATTTACGTGCAGAACCTGAAGATCATTATTTTCTATTAACTGAACCACCATTGAATACACCAGAAAATCGTGAATATACTGCCGAAATTATGTTTGAAACATTTAATGTGCCTGGATTATATATTGCTGTACAAGCTGTATTAGCATTGGCAGCATCATGGACTAATCGACAAGTTGGTGAACGAACATTAACTGGAATTGTTATCGATTCAGGTGATGGTGTTACACATTGTATTCCGGTTGCTGAAGGTTATATTATTGGAAGCTGTATTAAACACATTCCGATTGCTGGACGTAATATTACATATTTTATACAGAATTTACTTAGAGAAAGAGAATTCGGTATACCGGCTGAACAATCATTAGAAACAGCTAAAGCGATCAAAGAACGTTTCTGTTATGTATGTCCTGATATTGCCAAAGAATTTGAAAAATATGATAAAAATCAATCAAAATGGATTAAAAAATATACGGGCATAACTGCAATAACGAAACAACCGTTCGAAGTTGATGTCGGTTTTGAACGTTTTCTTGGACCTGAAGTTTTTTTCAATCCGGAGATTGCCAATCCTGATTTTGTTACATCATTGTCGGATATTGTTGATACTTGTATTCAAAATTGTCCGATCGATGTACGACGACCACTTTATAAGGTAAGTTTTTTTTGTTGAATATTTTTGAATTTCATTTGTTGTAACATTTTTCCCCCATAGAATATCGTTTTATCCGGTGGTTCAACAATGTTCAAAGATTTTGATCGTCGTCTACAACGTGATATTCAACGTTTAGTTAATCAACGAATGAAATTAAGTTATCAATTAAGTCAAGGACGTCTAAATCCAACACCAATCGATGTACAAGTTGTATCACATAATATGCAACGTTATGCTGTTTGGTTTGGTGGTTCTATGCTTGCATCAACACCAGAATTCTATTCAGTATGCCATACAAAATCACAATATGAAGAATATGGACCATCAATTTGTCGCCATAATCCTGTTTTTGGTACAATGACATAATGATCATTTATAATTTATAATTTGAAAAAGTGTTTTGTAATTTTTTTTTGCATGTATCAATCAAATTTTGATAATTAATCAGAGAGAAAACAGAAATCATTTTTGTCCAAAAAATTCAGAAAAAAAAAGTTTTTATTATTATTATTGTAAAGTGTATCCTATTTGAAGAATAATCCATTATTTAAGAAAACAAAAAAAAAATCATTCATTACTTACTTTCCATTCAATTCGGTCTTTTGATGTTTATTTTGAAAGTTTCAACCAAGAAAAAAATCGTCCGATAATGTAAACATTCGAATAAATTCTCATAACATTCGAATATTCGGAGAGTGCAATGATTTTTTGTCAAGAATGAATGAATGAATTACGCATGTGTCACAGAATGATGACCGGTTTTTTTTGCTTGCTTGCTTGGCTTGTCGTCTGACGTTGATAATGATGATGATGATGGCATATGGATGTGTTTTGTTGATGTTTATGCGTAACTAAATAAAATCAAAAAAAAAAAACTAAAATCAAAATTCATTCATACACATCGACAACGTTGAATTTTTTACACGTCGACTAATATTGTGTGTAAGATTCTCGTGTGACTTGTTTCATTTTCGTTTCGTTTTTTTCTTCCTGTTTGAATTTTTTTCTTCTCAGAATTTCTTTTTTTTTAAAGTTTAAATGACGATGATGAACAAATGCTGCTCACTTGTCATCTTTTTATGGATGATCACAACGTTGGTCGTATGTCAAGAACAACAACCACAACAAGATTCTGATCATCATATTAGATCGGAAAATGATGATCATCATTTTCATGAAAGTCAAATTCCACCACCATATCAACAACCAAATCAAGATGATATAAACAAAATGTTGATTAAAGTATTTGAAATGATTGATAATAATGATGATAAACAAGTTGATTCGGATGAATTGAAACAATGGTTAGATAAAATACATAATAATTTAATTAATGATAATGTTGAACAACAATGGTTATATTATTCACCACCATTACAAGAAGTACATAGTTGGGAATCATATGACCCGGAAAAAAAAGAAGCATTATCATGGGATCATTATTTGAATTCAACATATACTGATGATGTTGTCAAAGCATATCAAACGGATGCAAATATCGATGAATACAAATCGGATGATCCAAATTTTAAAACCTATTTTATTATGTTAAAACGTGCTGAACGTCGTTGGAAATATGCTGATAAAAATAATGATACTGTTTTAATAAAAGAAGAATTTAAATTTTTTTTACATCCAGAAGAATCTGAACATACTAAACATTTGTTGGTTGAAGAAGCAATGGAAGATATGGATATTAATGGTAATAAAGAAATTACTTTGGAAGAATATATGAAACATATGAATGAAGTTTCACCTGAACAAGATAAACAAGATCCAAATTTTGAATCGGTAAGTTAATTGAATGAAAAACTTGACTCTTTTCTCATTCTTTTTTGTTTGTTTTTTATTGATAGAATCATCAATCACAATTTCAAACATATCTGGATAAAAATAAAGATGGTAATCTTTGTATGAATGAATTAACTGAATGGCTTATACCAAATTTTGATCGTCATGAAGCTGAATCACAACGTATGATACAAGATACTGATAATGATCATGATCAAAAATTAAATGAAAAAGAATTATTACAAAATAATCAATATTTTTTAAGTTTAATACCGGGTGAAATGTGGAGACAATATTCGAATGCTGGTGCTGAATCCGCAACTGCTTCTTCACATGATGAATTCTAAAATGATCATCCATCAGTTTCATTCATTCGTTTTCTGACCAATCTATCTAGCTGCCAGGAAATTAAACAAACAAACGAAATTTTATCCAAAAAACTCAAAATTGTTTCTTCAACCAAATTATTTGATTGTGATAATTTTTAAACAAAACAAATGTTCACACTGATTTATTTTTTTCACAACTCTTTCTTCCCTTCAAAAAACCGATGGTTACACTTTACTAAATGGCAACTTTTCTTTTCTTTTTGCAATCTTTTTTTAACAAAAAATTTAAATAAAAACAAAATTTTTTAAAAAATTCAATTTATTTCAATGCAAAATGCAATTGTGTGATAACTTTGCGACATCTATTGAGTATATGCCAAAATTCCAAATTTTTCTTTCAAGTCATCAACCTAACCTCACTGAACTATAAATCACAGTCATAGTCATCAACCTAACCTAACCTAACTTGACTATCAAATATGAAAAAAATTATAAATTTTTTTTTCATTCATTTCCTTATTCACCTTAATAAAAAAAATTGAATCCTTTTGTTTATTTGAGCCAAAAAAAAATCTATTTTTTTCGAAGAAATTTTCCAATCAATTTTTCAAAAATTCGATGCTAATTAATTCTCATTAGATGCCCTTTAGCAATCTTATATTTTATTTTGAGCAAAAAAATGATCGTATTAAAACCAGAAATTCTCGAAAAAAAACATTGATTACACTTTAGTTTCTAATATAATTATCATAACAGTTAAGTTCAACGAACCTCGTTTAAGAAGCAACCTTGAACTTGTGCTTTGTAATGCGAAAAAAAAACTTGTTCAATGATTTTAGAAGAAAAAATAAAAAATAAATTAGATCTTCTTGTTGGAAATTAATTGGAAAAATTATCAAACATTTTTTTTCAAAAGAAAAATATCCCATTAAATGATGAATTCAAAAAACAGATTTCCAAGAACAAAAAAAACCAAAAAAAACGATGAACGATTGTTTTGTTTTGACAATCGATATATCGAATTGATTAAACAGGTTGTTCCATTCGATTTTTTTTTTGGTTGTGAGTTCCATTTGGTTTTGTTTGACCATTTTTTTCAATGATAATTGCGAAATTTTTGAATTATCATCATCACATGATGGGATGTTTATGGGATATTGAACAACAACTTGTTGAATTTGTTTTTGTTTTTTGGTCTGGTTATATAACCAAACAAAAACAAAAAAAATCTTCAAATGTAAGCCAATAATTTATATGGTAATTTTATTTTCGATAAAAATTTCACTCTTTTTTCCCCCTTTTCTTGTTTTCACAATAACCAAGATACAAACCACTTGGTTGGATGATTTTCGATCACAATCCATTTTTAGAAACGATGTTGAACACATAGTGATCAATTCAAATAAAAAGTTTGTTCCATTATCCCGAATCAAATCAAACAAACAAACAAACAAATGGCTAACTTAATGGATAACTTTAACAACAACAACCAAAATAAAAAGGTTTGTTTGTATGATGATACCAAAAAAAAGTGAGGTGTAAAATAAACTTTTCACTTTTTCCAACAACAAAAAAAAATTTATAGTCTACCTGGTCGACCATCATCATCATCATTATTATTGCATTTCACACCCTGATTTCCTCAATCTTCTTCTTCATTTTTTTGAAATTCATTTATATTCATCTTTTTTTTAAATATAAATCGAATCCATAACAAAAACGATGAAAAAAAAGGATTGTTGTCATATTGACAATGGATTTGTGTTTTTTGTTGTTTGTTGTTTGTCAATGGATAATTTTATTGTGTTTGTGTGCATTGCATTCAATTGAAATGATCAATTCTTATGACAAATTCATATGTTCGTTTTGATTGAAATTTCCACATGAAATGGTTGATGATGATGATTGTTTATTTACTTTCAAAATTTATTTTGATTCCAGAAAATTCGAACAATAATCAACAACAACAACAACAAACACAGTAATACAACTTGATTATCATGGTCAGATATTTCCGATTTAATTTTGATTATTGTTCAAAATATATCGATCGATCGATTATGATTATTTGACCTTGCTTCTAATAACCGAATTTTTTCTTTTTCTTTCTTCAATGAATAGTATTTTCATTAACATATACAATCCATGTACAAGGCTTCAAGCATTATTATTACTGATGATGATGATTGATGATTGATTTATTTGATTGATTGATACCTATATCACGAATATAAAAAAATGGCTATATTTTCAAAATAATTAATACATATCGATCTATTTGACTATAAAAAAGGTATGTAATTAAACAAAAAAAAAATGAAAAAGAAAAAAAATTCTGACGATAATCATGCACTATGTTTATCCATCATCATGATGCAATTCAAATGTAAAACATTCANCAAACAAACAAACAAATGGCTAACTTAATGGATAACTTTAACAACAACAACCAAAATAAAAAGGTTTGTTTGTATGATGATACCAAAAAAGAAAGAAAAAAAGTGAGGTGTAAAATAAACTTTCCACTTTTTCCAACAACAAAAAAAAAAATTTATAGTCTACCTGGTCGACCATCATCATCATCATCATTATTATTGTATTTCACACCCTGATTTCCTCAATCTTCTTCATTTTTTTGAAATTCATTTATATTCATCTTTTTTTATATAAATCAAATCCATAACAAAAACGAAGAAAAAAAAGGATTGTTGTCATATTGACAATGGATTTGTGTTTTTTTTTTGTTGTTTGTCAATGGATAATTTCATTGTGTGTGTGTGCATTGCATTCAATTGAAATGATCAATTCTTATGACAAATTCATCATCATTTTGATTGAAATTTCCACATGTAATGGTTGGTGATGATGATTGTTTGTTTACTTTCAAAATTTATTTTGATTCTAGAAAATTCGAACAATAATCAACAACAACAAACAAGTAATACAACTTGATTATCATGGTCAGGTATTTCCGATTTAATTTTGATTATTGTTCAAAATATATCGATCAATCGATCGATCGATTGATCGAACAAACCAAATCAATAATAATGATTATTTGACCTTGCTTTTAATAACCGAATTTGTTTCTTTTTCTTTTTTCTTCTGTGAATAGCATTTTTCATTAACATACAATCCCATGTATACAAGGCTTCAAGCATTATTATTGCTGATGATTGATGATTGATTTATTTGATTGATTGATTGATTGATACCTATATCACGAATAAAAAAAATGTCTAAATATATTTTCTTCTTCTTAATTAATACATATCGATCTATTTGACTATAAAAAAGGTATGTAATTAAACAAAAAGAAAAAAATTCTGACGATAATCATGCACTATGTTTATCCATCATCATGATGCAATTCAAATGTAAAACATTCATTCTTTTTCTTCTTCTTTCTTTATTTAACAACAACTTCAAATTAAGATCAAGACAAGGAAGCAATTTTCTTCGTTTGTATATCAAAACAAAATAAACATTCCTTTAAGCTAGATTTTTTTGAAGAAAAAAAAATGTCCAAATCAACTAACTAAATATATTTTTTATTCATCATTCTTTGTGAGAATCATATACAGAAGAAAAAAAATGCATTAACATGACATAGCTGATCATCATCATCATCATCTTTGCCGTTGATGATGATCATCATAGTCATAGATTAATTGAAATGTACACACAAACACAAACACATCCTATGTTTGGTCAATACTCTTGAATACCAGTTACCAATTTTCTTTCTCTCTCTCTTGTTAGAGAAAAGCAAAGAGAGAGAGAAAAAGATGCTCTCACTGGTCAAACAAACAAACAAACAACCAACAACTATAACCGATATCGACCTATCGGCCAAACAACATTCTCAACACAACAGGTTGACCAACCTATCCTACCCAAAAACCAAAATTAAATCAAAGTAACGGCTATATGGTTTGAATTGAATGATGTATTCAATAGATTACATTTGAACAGATAACGAATATTATTATCTTGAGGGAAATGAAAAACTTGTCCCGTTAGTTTTTTTTTCTTCTTCTTCTTCAAACATGATAATAGTAAACAATTATGATTGACGATGTGGTTGTGTAGGTAGTCAGGTAATGTGCACAATAATAACCGCATTTTACCACCACTACCTTCTCCGCTAAGCATCCTTAGTTATATCTAGCGAGAAAAAAAAGATGTCCAACAACCAAATGTCCAAACATCCGAGAATGTAAAACATTAACTAACTAACTAACTAAGGTTAGTTTCCCTCCAATCGTTTGGAAGATGGCCTGATGGCCACAACAACAACAACAGCATCTTAACTTCTTGTATTTTATTTATTCGTGTGTTTTTAGTAAATGTCATTTCTATATTTGTTGACTATTTTTGACCGGAACGAAAGAATTTCCGTCCAATAATTACATAATATTTTCCTATGTAAACAAATTTAACCTATGAACATTAACAACAACAATCATTTGAACATAGAATTCTTTTGTATCATCATCCGGTTTCTCAGTTTATTGAAACCTTTGAAATTTTTCATTTAAATTTATTGAAATTTGTTTTTTGATTTTGTGAAAAGAAGTGTGTTGGTGTGTGTTGTTTGTGTGTGTGATTCGTTATATTTTCATAATTGATAATAATGGTGATTAGCAAATTGTGGTGTTTTGTTTTGTAAATCAAAAAAATTCATTTTAAAGATATTCTTCAAGTGTAACAAACAAAGATGGCTTTTTTCAAACAATTACGTCTTTTATTACGACACAAGATTCTATTAAGACGACGACAACCGGTAAATTGATTCATACAAGAACAACATGAACGAAAATCTAATCTGTTTAATTTGTCTTTGTTTTTTCTTCTTGTTTTTTCCCGTTTTTCCCCTCCAAAAAAAAAGACAATATTAATACTTGAATTATTTTGGCCGGCATTTGTTTTTTTTACCATATTGATTGCACGATGGCAATTTCCACCAACATTCATTCAAACATGTATGTATTTCATTTTTTTAAAAAAAAGGATTAAAAATCTAAAATAATTTCTTATTAAAGGTTATTATAATGCTAAAGCATTACCATCGGCTGGTTTAGTTAATCTATTACAATCACATATTTGTTCAATGGATAATCCATGTTTGAATCGTGAACAATATGAGGAAGTGCCAAATTATCCAAATGCAACGTAAGTTTTTTTGTTTTTTCTTTATTGAATAAACCAAATAGCTATTACCGGAGAGAAAAAACACTTGACACTATTCTCGAGGTTCTATTCACACATCGATTTGTTTGTTTTTCTCACCTTTTACCCGATTTTTTTTTTAGTTTTAAAATAATCGATTTTTTTCAAAAAAAAAGTTGTTCCCATTTTTTTGCACAATTTTTGTTTGTTAGAATTTTTTTTTCTCAATTTTCGGCTTTTGTTTTTTGATAATTAATTTTCATTGAATATTTCATTTTTAATTAATTGTGTATGTATGTTTAACAGTAATTCAATCTGATACACATCATCATCATGAAAGGGGCTTGTTTGTTTGTGTGTGTGTGTGTGTTATACGTGAAACTTTTACCCGATGAACATTTTGGTTTATTATTATTTTATACATCACTATAGTATAATCATAGCATCTATAATTAGCAATCGTCTGGTCGTACGGCCGACATTATGGTTTTTTATTTTGGGTTGAAAATATCTAGATTAAAATAGCCACATAGCTTTTTTTCGCCCCTTGAATTTTTAAAATCTAATTCAATTTTTTTATTTTTTTATTTGATTTTTCCTTTCATTCATTCATATTCATAGTATTCATTTGATTGTTGATCAAATATTACCATTATTAACGGATAAAAATGTAACAAACGTTATCAATGATCTACCTAAAGGTATACGTTTAATTGCTGCCATAATTGATACATTATCAATACCATCTGTACAAAAATTATTGGAANTTAAAGGTTATTATAATGCTAAAGCATTACCATCGGCTGGTTTAGTTAATCTATTACAATCACATATTTGTTCAATGGATAATCCATGTTTGAATCGTGAACAATATGAGGAAGTGCCAAATTATCCAAATGCAACGTAAGTTTTTTTTTGTTTTTTCTTTATTGATTAGAGAAAAAACCAAATACACTTGACACTATTCTTGAGGTTCTATTCGCACATCGGTTTGTTTGTTTTTCTCACCTTTTACCCAATTTTTTTTTTAGTTTTAAAATAATCGATTTTTTCAAAAAAAAAGTTGTTCCCATTTTTGTTTGTTAGAATTTTTTTTCTCAATTTTTTTGTTTCGGCTTTTGTTTTTGATAATTAATTTTTCATTGAAGATTTCATTTTTAATTAATTGTTTATGCATGTTTAACAGTAATTCAATCTGATACACATCATCATGAAGGGGCTTGTTTGTTGTGTGTGTTATACGTGAAACTTTTACCCGATAAACATTTTGGTTTATTATTATTTTTGTTTTTTATACATAACTATAGTATAATCATAGCATCTATAATTAGCAATCGTCTGGTCGTATGGCCGACATTATGTTTTTTTTTTAAATTTTGGGTTGAAAATATCTAGATTAAAATAGCCACATAGCTTTTTTCGCCCCTTGAATTTTTAAAATCTAATTCAATTTTTTTATTTTTTATTTGATTTTTCCCTCCATTCATTCATATTTAGTATTCATTTGATTGTTGATCAAATATTACCATTATTAACGGATAAAAATGTAACAAACGTTATCAATGATCTACCTAAAGGTATACGTTTAATTGCTGCCATAATTGATACATTATCAATACCATCTGTACAAAGATTATTGGAAAATGGTTTTCCATTACGTTCAATGTTACGTTCATCCGGTTGGAAACATGTACAACAACAATTAAATCGTTTAGAATTATCATTAGTGCCATTCTATCCGGATTTGGATTTAGTCATTGAACATTCATCATCATCCGCATCATTATCATTACCATCATTATCATGGGACGATCATAATCAGACAATACAAAAGGATTCAAAAGGTCGAACCTATGATATCCTAGTCAATGCACATCTAAATTTAATGCGTTTCGGTATTCATTCGGATAGTGGTAATCATCAATCATTTCGTTCATTTCGTGATGTTATCTGTGATCATAATGAATTGGAAAAATTTCTAATCATTCCTAATCGACCAAATTCTGCTGATGATATACGTTTTTTATCCAGACATCTTTGTCTACTTGAACAAAAAGATCTTTACTATCTATTTGATCTCGTACAGGATAATATCGATTTTGTTAATATTCTTCAACAATTATCATTAGTTTTTCGTTCAGTTGGACTTGATGAACATCAACAACATTTAAATAATATTCGTTCAATGATTACAACCATAGATCAGGCAAATATTTTTCCATCAATGACAGCTCTTCGTAATACATCATGGCTTTATGATCTACCTAGTTTGTTTGATGTACTACGATCCGGTGAAATAGATGTTCAAACATTATTGAAAATAGTTAATGATATTGAACCAATTTTTGGTGGTGGTGTTGGTGGTGACAAAAATTCTGATGATGAAAATGAACAACTTGAAAATCAACGACAAAATCAACGTATTGAATATCTAATGCGTTTGTATGATTCGGATGATTCTTCATTGAAAACTATTGCACATACTGCTATTGGTTCATTATCATCGTCAACGGATGAAACTATTGATTTGAATGATGATGATTATTCATTTGATAATGAAGATGAAACAATTTCATTAACAAACGATTCAAAATTTCCCGTGGAACATAAAGAAATGACAATTTTACATAATATTGATGATTTGGATACTAGTGAAACGGCTAATGTTAATCTTTTATCCATTGCTGCTACTAATTATCCAACCGATAGTTTAGGTCGACGTTTTCTACCTAAACTTTTAGCCAATATGGATAAATTTATTGATGGTGCAGAAAAATTTACCCGTACACCACAATGGAATTCATTATTGAATGCATTTCAAGGTCTACAAATGATGCTAGAAATGACCGCTTCAAATGGTCAACAACAATTTTCATCAACAAATATTGAACAATTTATTATTAATTTTCCAAAAAATATTCAAGCATTAACAAATTTTTTCAATTCAATTGTACCGGAAAAATTTCAACCACTTGTATTACCATTGTTTAATCTTGTACAAAGAATTGCCGATTCAATGTTACAACATTTAAGTGGTGCATTTACACGTGCTTTGAATGAAGATAAAATCTATTATTTTGATAAATTAGTACAATTATTGATTGCTTCGATGAATAATGGAACATTACCACGGAAATGTTTTGATATGCAACATGCAATGTGTGATTTTGATCAATTTCAATCAGTTTTTATTAGAAATATTGATGATGAAACTGGTGAAATTATTGTTATGGTTGATGAAGATATTGGTACATTACAAGGTATTCAAGAATTAGGTTGTATATTTTTTGGACAAAATTATTTGAAACAAAATGTTGAAGAATCAACACCAATTCTGGCAAAACTTTATTATACATTATCAGCATTAAATGATACAAATCAATTATCATCATCATTAGCCGCATTAGGTAATGTTTCTACAATGGGAAACAAATCAACAAGCACTACTAATACTGATGATGATACTGTTTTTTGGAATAATTTTACAACACGTATGCTGGAAGTATATCTTTTGGCTACAAAATCAGTGAATGCAAATGCATGGTCATCAATGATGCAACAAATGTCATATGTATGGAAACGTAATCGTTTATTTGATCGAATTATACTTTCATCACGTGTATTACAATTAACAGCAAATTGTTTTACACCTGAACGTATTATGAATTCACCAATATGGTTTCATATTCAACGTAAAAATATAATTATTAATGAAATTTTAAATCTGGTTATTGATGAAATTAATCAGGCTGTTGAAAATGAAGCACTGAATGTTCAACAATTATCAATGGGTTCACCAACATTACATTATTTTCTACATAAAAATCTTCATTTATTACCTGTGTTAATGGATTCAATATTTGATACATTATTTTTTAATCTACCACGTTTTGTTGAACGTATATTTCAATTATCAAATGCATTCATGTCAAATTGGCCATGTAATCATTTTAGTATTGTTGATTTATTAGCTATTCAAAATGAAAAATATCGTTCAGAAATTTATTCAGTTGAAAATTTTTTATGTCATCAATATCATATGAATGAAGGTGATTATGGTCGTATTATTGATGAATTAATATCACCCAATAATAATCAATCACGTGGTGCACCACTTATTCGTGTTTTACAAAATAAATCAAATAATTTAAGTATGATTTATGAACATGTACCACCATTAGATTGGGTTGAAGCTGCTCACAGTGTATCGATGATTAAAGAATCGGCTGAAAAATTAATTTTTGCCGATAATAATTGGATATGGTTTCCTGAAGTTGATCGGCTTGATTCATCGATTCGTCAATCATTTGGTCGTGCTCGATTAATATTTCAACAATTTTATAATCAAGGAATGGCCGGTCTATTTACATATGTTGGTGATATATTCACTCCATTTGCTATACGTTATATGTCATTAAATGAAACATTTAGCCAGATTTGTGATTATGGTGTATCCGGTATATTAATGGCACCTGTTGTTAATGATAAAGAATGGCGTTGTTTTTTTGTTTCATCAAAATTTGCAAGCTATTCATTACAACAATTACTTGAATTACTTAATCAAGTATTAACGAATTTTCTTCATAATAATAATCAATGTCGAATATTTGATATAGATGATAATGGTGGTGGTAATTATTCCAACAAAAGTTATAATCAAATTTTATTTTTAAGTGATCATATAGCTGAAATTATTGAATTAATTATGAATCAATTATTATTGGGTGATATGAATCAAATTACAAATGCAAAATCATTACAAGATATTATCTGTAATTCAAATATAAATCTAGATATTTTCAATACAAATCATTCATTATATTTAGATATTCGTCAAACACTATGTGGATTACCCGAACAATTTACAAATTGTTTTCAATTAACAATGCCTAAAAAATGGATTGAAACTTCGAATCATTTAAATTTTACCTGGTATACACAATCATTAGCTGAATTATCAAATAAATCATCATTTGTTGATGCTTATCGTAGTGTTTATCGTTTTCTAACATTATTTGGACAATTTTCACCACGTTTTATGAATCAATTATTATCACGATTTGAATCAACAAATACTAATCATAATCATGGACAACATTTCATACAAAAAGTATTAAAACGTATGAATCAAATGCAACAATTTCGTGGAAAACGTTTCACATATGTTATGCAATCAATATCATTAGAATTGTATAGAATTTGGTTTACAAATGGTAAAATTTCTCAACTACCAATTTATCATGAAGAAAAACGTGATCTTATGATGGCATTGATTTATGCTTTAAATGAATTACCTGTTCGTTTACGACAACGTTATAAATTAGGTGGTATTCATTTTCGATCAACTGTTTCGAACAATAACAACAAAAACAACACCAACGATTATGATGATGATATTCATTTACAAATAGATCTATTAGATTCATTACTTGATTGGCTTGATAGTCATCTATTGACAATAACCGATACTATTTTACAAACAATAATATTGGATCGACAACGATTAAATCGATTATTTCATAATAAATTTGATACAGTTTCTATATGGCGTTCATTTTGTCGTGCACCAATTAGTCAATATTTTATTGTTGATAATGAAATATCATCATTATCACATAAAGCTAAAGATGAAATTTGTTCAATGGATTTTAATTCAGTTTATAATCAATGGTTTCGACATTCTAAACATTACTTAAGTAATTATAGTAATTCTGAATTAATTGGATTATTATTAAAAGAAACAGGATCAACTATTGATCTTATTCTTAATGATCCGGTTTATAAACGTGATTTTCTTAAAACAGAAGATTGGCAAATAATTATAACAAAATTAAATCGATTAATTGATCATTCGGATAATTTTGGTATGAAAATATTATCTATGATTGAAGGTTTTTTCAAAGAAATTTTATCTCATTCAACAATCGAATCAATACATCGAATAATCGTTCATCTAAAATGTGGTTTAAATACAATTCCTTTACAAGGTTTAAATTGGGATATTGTACCGAAAATATATGCCAATCAAACCGATATAATGGCATTATATTCTACATTTAATTCAGCATTTACATTATCATCACTTGGATTGAATACATTTCTTAGCCAAACAAAATTCTATAATCATATTCAAATGTCAATGAAATATGGTAATTATCGCCGCGGTTTTTGTCATATTGAAAATGAACAAGAATTTCAAGAAGTTTTTGCCATTGTTCCACAATCATCTGCAAATGAAATAATTTTTGCTTTACGTAATTTACAAACACTTTTATGTGATCGAAAATCATCCGGACAATTTTGGCGAAATATTAATCCAATTTCAAAATGTTTATGGTCACCAATAAAAGTGGAAAGTTTTTCCAATGATCTACAATCATTAATGGAACATTTTCAAAAATCAATAAAATTTCATAAATCCATTAATCATAATAATAATGATCATGAAATGATACCACCAATTTTAGATCAAAAACAATGGAATCGTTTTTTTAAATGGTGGCAAGAAGAAATTAGTCCATATCCAAATAGTGGTCGAACATTAACATTGATGAGAGCATTTCAATTAATCGATTCATTTGCTGATGAACATGTAATTTGGAAAGCATTTTATCGATTAACATATTTTACATCTGAAATGTTTGCATATAGTTTTCGTGCATTACAATCAACATATACTATTTATCCAATACAACCAGATATGAAATGGATTACAAATCATAAATCAATTAAAATATCATCACATCAATCACCTAAAAAAACATTATCATCACTGTTAACATCAACAGTATCGAATTTAATATTTCCTGAAGTTAATCATTTTATTACATTTGCTACATTTCGTCAATTACGTTGGATTCGTCATATAAGTCATTATTTTGCACAACATCCTGGTATTCTGCATGATGAACTTTGTCCAACATTAAATAATTTCAGTAATCATCGTGATAATTCACCAATTATTGTTGATGAAGATTTTAATGATTTACTTTTATTATTATGTCATAATCATCCATCTGATTGGATTTATAGTTTAACATTTAAATCAAATTTATTTAATATTAAAGCATCACCAAGACCAAAATTTATATCACATCGTAAAATACGTGAACGTATTGGTAAATTAACACAAGTACTTGCACGTATGTTGGATTATAATAGTGATAAAAATAATCAAAAATTAGATCATGTTATACGGTTTTTAAAACTGAAACAATTAGAATCAATTGAAAATGTTGCCGGTACTGGTGATATATTGATTCAAACAATTTTGGCTAAAACTCAACAGAATAATCGTACAATAACAGCAATTTCATTTAAAGAATTATTATGGACAAGTTGGAGATCAGTACCATCATTATTGGATACTGTTGATCAATATATTTGTAGCTATAAACAAATGAATCAATCATCAAATAATGAAACATTATCATCAATCGTTGATGATGATACAATGATGGACAAGGAATTTGAATATCATCCAAAAGCACCAGATATGAAAATTGTTATGTGTGAAATGCCTGGTTGGAATTTTGATCAGGCTTATACATATCTATCGAAACATTTAGATTTGAAAAATATGTTGGCCGTATTTGCATCATCATCATCATCATCTCATGATGTTGTTGATGATTCTCAACAATCAACAACATCGACAAAATATCATCAACAATGTGTTACACCATTACGTTTTCTTTCACGTTGGATTGATGTTGGCCAGGATATATTTCAACAAATGTATAGCAGTAAATTTTGGTCAGAATTAAAATCATGTCGTAAACGTCGTCTTATTTCATTGTTAGCATCGACAAAATCATCAAATACATTTTTGCTTGGTCATTCATTACGATATGTACGTTTTATGAACAAATTATTGACAACAATCGATAAATTTTCACATGAAAATAAAGGTGTATCATGGAATAATGTACGACAATTATGGCAAACATTTAGTTTTTTCATATTGAATCAAGTACCGGCATATGTTCCTATTACTGATATTGTAAGAAATGATGTTAATCTTTCTGAATATCTAAATGCAACATTAGATCGTATATCAACATTATCAAGATCACGTGCAAAACAAGCTATACGTTTATTAACCGATTCAATGTTGGATGTTAATGCAATTTCATGGAATAATTTTAGTAATATTGCATTGAAAGAAATGATTTGTAAACAAAAAGAATCGGTTAAATTTTTAGATTCAAAAAATAATTATCTACCAATTATTGTTAAAACAATAAATCAAACACAATTAAATTTGGATATAAATGAACAAGAATCATTATATGATACATTATGTCATAATAGTGATCAACTGATGCCAATTATTGATTCTTTAATGGCTGTTATTGATCATGATTCCGTTACAAATCGTTTAACAAGATTACAACGAACAGAATTAGCACGTTCAAATTGGATTAATGATGTATTGATACCAGAATTGACTGAAATGTGGACATCTGGTGTTTTAATTGATATTGGTAATAAAATGGGTATCATACATCAACAACAAACTGATCCATTTAAATCGGGTGAAAGTTCTAGCCAAAAAGGTATTAATCATCTTCTAATATCATTTGTATCGATGACAAGAGCACAAAATTTTAATAAACTTTATGATACAATTAAACAAACTGTTGAAAAATTATCACCAAAATTTCATAAAGGTGCTATTGTTGATTCATTAAATCGAATATTGGATGGTATACAAAGTTTACAACAATTAGCTGAACATGGACTATTTCAGATTAAATATCAAATTCATGATCTATTGGTCAATGCTGATAATGTTAAAATATTTTTGGAAAAAAATCTTGCCATTGATCGACATTTAGTTGAACAGATAATGAATGCATCGATTGATTTAAGTGAATTTATACAAATGTCTGCACGTGTTCGTTTTGATTCAAGTGCATTTTGTAATCAAACATTATTGTTTGATGAATTAAAATTACAATTACCATTGACTAATGATGATGATAATGGTGATGATGAAATATCAGCAACAACAATTCACAATAGACAACTTGTTACCAATGTTCTCTGTACATTAAGTGTAACTGAAGATTTTAAATTCAATAATCAAATCCTTAATCAATTGGTTATTCGACGTTTAACTTATAATATTGTTAATCTAATACAGAATAGTTTATTGAAAAAAGCTAAAATCGAAAGCAGCCAAATACCGAAAGCATTGAATGCAATTAAAGCATCATCCGAAGCAATGCCTTATATTAAATCATATATTAAACATATGACAACATCATTTGATCATTTGGATGAATCAATCATTCGTACAAATTTACATAATATAAGTTTATCGATGGCTTCGGATTTGATTGGAAAAATTATTTGTGGTGGATCGAATCCATCTTTGAATCGTGAAATTAAATTACTTAAAGTTAAAGTTGAACAACCGAAAATTTTATCAACAAATGAACGTAATGTTTTCAATTCGGATTTCTGTTTGGATGGTTATCGACAAATTATGCAAATTCAAGGTGGTCCGGTTATTTGGAATTTTTTGAAACCAATATTAGTCGGCAAAATTCTTTACACACCAAAAGCACCTTTTACCGATATGATAATGGGCCAAATGAATTCAACATTAAAATTTATGCCACGTATGGTTGAAATGTTACATGCATGGGCACAAACATTATCCAGTTTAGAAAGTTTTTATCATCAATCCGATGTTAATAATCGTATGAATCATGTAAAACATTTAATACAATCGGTTTTTATTAATGGTGAAGCTGATGGTCTTTTTACTGATTTTGATACATTTAGTCTGATTGAAAAATTAACCAAATCGGGAAATATTTTAGCTATTGTTAAATTGATTGGACAAGTTGCTAATTGTGCTTCATTTGATCGTTTTGTTGGTGTTAATGATGAAATTGAATTAGAAGAAATGGCAAGGAATTTAACCCGGTCTCATCAATTTATAGCCGGAATTGTATTTGTTGGTAAACAACAGGATTATTTGGATAAAAATACATTACCAAATAATATTGAATATAAAATTCGAATCGATATTGATTTTGTACCATCAACCAAAGCATTAAAAAGTCGTATTTGGGAACCAGGTCCCCGTGATCATTATCTTGATGATATGCAATATATGCATGGTTTTGTTCAAATACAAGAAATGATTGATCGTTCAATAATGGCATTATTAACTAATCAAACTAATCAACAACAACGATTACCTATTGATCCAGAAGTACATCTACAACAACAACCATATCTTTGTTATGGTAGTGATAAATATGGAAATTATATTCGATCATTAGCACCATTGATTACAACAATGGCATGGATATTTTTGATTGCCTACCTAATTCGTGAACATGTACTTGAACGTGAATTACATCTTGAAGAAGTAATGCGTGTTATGGGTTTAAAATCTGGTGTTGCATGGTTAACCTGGTTCATATTGGGTATTTCAATAATGACATTCGCTACTATTTGTGCAATATTATTACTTTTCGTTGGTCAATTAATACCAGCTTCTGATCCGATACTATTGTTTTTGTTTTTTATGGTATTCAATGTATCATTGTTGATGTTTTGCTATATGATTAGTTCATTTTTTCGTACAGCAACCATTGCAGCATTATCCGGTATTGTTGCATATTTAGCTTCATTTCTACCGTTTATGGTTGCCATAACATTGGAAAATGAAATGAGTTTTATGCAGAAAATTTTTACCTGTCTATCGATGTCTACATCATTTTGTTTTGGAATGATGTATATGACAAGATTTGAAGTTCAAGGTGTTGGTATGCAATGGAATAATTTATGGCATAGTCCAATGCAAGGTGATACAATGAATGTTGGTACAGCTATTATTATGATGGCTATCGATTCATTGATTTATTTTATTATTGCCTGGTATATTTCACATGTACATCCACCGGGTAATAATGCTCGACGATATCCGGCATTATTTTTCCTTTCATTTTCATATTGGAAAAATGATTTTTTACGTTCATTTGGTTTTGGTGAAGATCATACGCCACCAACATCTACGCTACGTAACACTGGCCACATGAATCATAAAGATTTATTACCATACAGTATGAATAATGATTGTCATGATGAACGAATAAAAAATGATGAAGATAATACATCGATTACATTGGAAAATGATGATGCATTTAATATTGTTGATCCTGATGAATGGAAATCATTAAGTAGTAAAGCATTTTTTAATTTTAATCATGATGATAATCAAATGATTGCTGATGGTACATTGAAAACTATTTCAGGAACATTGAAAAAAGCTATACATCATCATCATAATAATCATCATATAGATTGTACAACATTGACAAGAAAAGCAAGTCAACAATCAAATCAATCAACATCATCATCGATTATAAGTCAAAATCCATTAGGTATGGAAATCAATGGACTTTATGTTATCTACAATGAACATAGTAATCGAACCAAACATATAGCTGTATCGAATTTAAATCTTAATTTAAAAGAAGGTCAAATAACAACCATATTAGGTCGAAATGGTGCTGGAAAAACAACAACTATCAATGTACTTACCGGGCAAATGCCACCAACATCCGGTACGGTTACAATTTATGGTTATCGAATACCGGATGATTTTAGCCATGCTAGACGTTTACTTGGTTATTGTCCACAATATAATACATTATTTGATGATTTAACTGTTCGTGAACATTTATTATTTTTTGCCGAATTGAAAGGTTTACTACAAGATTCTAAAACAATCGAAAATGATGTTAATGAAATTCTACATAATATGGGTCTATGGAATTTACAACATCAAATGGCTAAACATTTATCCGGTGGTCTAAAACGTAGACTTTGTGTTGCATTAGCATTTGTTGGTGGTAGTAAATTGATTATTTTGGATGAACCAACTGCCAGTGTTGATCCAGTAGCAAGACGAAGAATTTGGGATCTAATTGTACAACAGAAACGATCACGAACAATTTTATTGACAACACATCATATGGATGAAGCCGATATACTTTCGGATGAAGTAGCTGTAATTTATCGTGGTAAATTACTGTGTATTGGTTCACCATTATTACTTAAATCTAAATATGGATGTGGTTATCGATTAACAGTTTCAAGACAAGGTGATTTACTTGATTGTGATTCATTTACAAATTCACAACAAATTGAACATGGTGATGAAGAAGAATCTAATGTTAATAGTTTTGATAGCCGTATTACGATTCGTCCAAGAAGTGAAGTAGAAAAATTAATGGCATTTACTAAATGTCTTATACCGAATGCTTCATTTGTTGAAGATAATAATGGTCAGGTTATACTTTCCTTGCCACAATTAGATGATCATGGTATTGCACATGATTATTCAACATTTTTTCGTTGTCTTGATTCAAATATACGAACACTTGGATTCGGTAGTTATGGTGTAACAAGTACAACATTGGAAGAAGTTTTCCTAACACTTTGTAGTCTTGAAGAACTTAATATGCCTGTTGATGAAGCAAAATTAGCTGTTGCACGTCGATTAAGTCATCAAGCTAATTCTTATTGTCAAAATACCGATACAATGATGAATCAATGTTCAACCAACAATCCTGTACAATCTGATATTCAAATGGATTCGGGAATTCGATTAAAATCTCGACAATTATATGCATTATTTAAGAAAAGATTTCTACATATGATACGTGATTGGAAACTATTGTTTTGTACATTATTTCTGCCTTGTTTATTTATTGCATTTGCAATGGCTATGACATTGATCAAACCATCATTTGCACCGGATCCAGCATTACCATTAGTACCACACATTTATGGTCATTCAACTGTTTCATTTCTACATAATCATCCTAGACATGGAAATTTTACCGAAAAATTTCAAATGCTTGAACAAGAATTATTAGAATCAAATGATAATCAAACAGTTGATTGTTTACAACCACGTGATAAATGGCGTACAGCTAAATGTCCAATAATGAAGAATAAATTTGAATCACCATTACCTGTACATTTGATTACATTGAAAGGTGCTGCATGGGATCGTAATTCACGATCATCATGTAAATGTCCGGATTGTTTTCATGATATTCATACAATGTCACATTTTATACCGATTCCTAGACAAAATGCTTATGGATGGTTTTATAATCTAAGTAAATTAATTGATATAAATCAATTTTTATTACGAACACAACCAGAATTTATGGATCGTCGTTGGGGTGGTTGGAGTTTTCGTTCAATACGTTCACAACAACAACGAACTACAATGCCTAAACGAAGAATTGTTAAAGTTTGGTATGATAATAATGGATTTCATACAATGCCTTCATATTTGAATACTATTAACAATGCATTACTTCGTGCAAATTTAAAAGCTATCGGTCAAACAAATAGTTCATATCGAATAACAACTTATTCACATCCATTACATGTACGATCTAATCAATTAGGTGATCAATCAGTTATGCAACAAGCAGGTGATGCTGGTATTGCCATTATTATTTTAGTTGGTTTCATTTTTATACCAACCAGTTTTGTTTTCTATATTGTACGGGAAAGAATTTGTGAAGAAAAACATCTACAAAAAACATTCGGAGTTGGTCCATTACTGTATTGGTTATCAAGCCTTTTCTGGGATCTAACCATATTGATCATTGCTATTGGTTTCGCATCGGCTATTATTGGTTTCTTTCGATTGCCAATTTATATGTCACGTTTAAATTTACCGGCTATATTAACACTTTTATTCTTTTTCGGTTGGGCTATGATTAATTTGGTTTATTTAATGGAAAAATGTTTCGATGAACCAAGTATTGCATTCATGGGAATCTATTGTTTATCATTATTTATTGGAATTCATACTATGGTCATGAGATTAATGATCGATGTTTTTAAATTGATTGAAATTACACCAACTATATATCAATGGTTTGAAAAGATTGCCATATTTTTACCACCATATTTATTGTTAAGTGGTATTGTTGATGTTCATCGTAATCAATTATTTGCCGATATATTTACATTGTTCGATCAAGATACTTATGTTAATCCATTTTCATACGAATTGTTGGGGCGTCATTTTACCATTTTTGCCATACAAGGCTTATTGTTTTTTATTATCAATTTAGCTATTGAATGTGATCTCATTTGTAAAATTAGTGCCATTTTTAAATTTAATCATCGTCGATCATTCGGACCTAGCCGAATCGGTAATCAATTAGATGATCAAAATGAAGATAGTGATGTTGCCGATGAAAGACGTCGTGTTCATATGGCATTTGGACTTCCAGTACCTGTACAAAATTCATCTTGTAATTCACCGGAATCAAGTAGAAAAGTTTCATCTGATTGTCAATCAACTACAAGTTCATTATCAAGTCACAGTGTTACTTCACCAAGTTCCGATATACTTCGTGTATTTAATGTTACTAAATTGTTTGAAAATATGTTTGGCTATCGTAGTGCTGTAAACAATATAACTTTTTCAGTACCAAGAGGTGAATGTTTTGGATTATTAGGTGTAAATGGTGCCGGTAAAACTACATTATTTCGTATAATAACCGGACAAGTGAAAGCAACAACCGGTGAAACAATGTTTAATGGTCGTAATATACGTGAAGCATTAGCAAATAATTATCATAATGAATCGATTGGATATTGTCCACAAGCTGATGCATTGGATGGTTTTCTTACACCGATTGAACATTTAACTATTTATGCACATCTTAGAGGTATACCAAGACATCAAGTTTCAAAGGTAATAAATTTTATATTTTTTTCAATTCATTATCATCATTATGTTTTATTTTTTTCTTTACATAGTTTGTAAAAGAATCGATTGATAAATTTCAATTACAAATGCATTCAACAATGCCTGTACAGGCATTAAGTCGTGGAAATCGTCGAAAACTTTGTCTAGCTATTGCAATGTTAGGTCGACCACAATTAATTTTGCTGGTAAATAAAAATTTTCTTTTTTTTTGTGTTTTTTTTCATTTTTTTTAAATTTTACTTGTTTGAAACAGGATGAACCGACAAGCGGTCTTGATCCTCAAAGTCGTCGTCATGTATGTCAAAATATTCAGGATGCTATACGTGATCGTCGTTCAATATTACTTACATCACATAGTATGGAAGAATGTGATATTCTTTGTTCACGTTTAGCAATTATGGTCAATGGACGATTCAAATGTATTGGTAGTCCTCAATATCTTAAACACAAGTAAGGAATATTTTCATTAATATCATTATCATGATAATATTAATATGAAATCATTGAAACTTGACAGATTTGGTACCGGTTACATTATCACACTTAGATTGTCTGAAATAAAAGGCAATTTCAATGAAGCTATCGAATTTATTCGTGAAAATTTTCCTCAATCCGTTCTCAGGGTAAAATAACATTGAATTTGATTTTTACTAAAACATATTGAAACTTTTTTTAATTCAATTTAAAAATCAGGCTCATCATCATACAATGTTGGAATTTAATTTACCAACAAACGAAATACTTTTATCAAATATATTTCAAGTTTTACAAAATGCTCAAACATTACTTTCATTACAGGATTATTCTGTTAGTCAGACAACTCTTGATCAGGTAAAACCTAGTTTTATTTTTATTTATTTTTTTAGTTAATAATTTATTGTTTTTTTTCATCCAAACAAGGTGTTTGTCACTTTTGCCAATCAACAAGTAAACGATTTTGATGGTCAACAAGATGGCTCCAATAATGATAAAACAATGATCAACAGCAAAAATAGTGAACAAGATTCAAAACGTTCATCATTTTTAACAGCACATGATGCTAAACATCAAATCAAACGACATGCGTCAATGTTGGTATCATTATGTCGTGAGTCACCATGTACACGGTCAACAAACGTGAATCATAACAATAATTGTAGCAATAAAACAATAAAATCATCCATTCAATGGCAATCAAAACATCGACATGCATCTCTTTGTAATGATAGAAGAAATTCACCATTGACAGCAAAAATTCTTCACAGGCGACAATCAATTGAACGTCAACAGCGATTGAAATCAAAATCTCCACCATCCAAAATTTTGGACATTGTTGATTGTAATGCCTCATTATCGATCAAAAACAATTTATTAATGAATGGAAAAAGCAAATTAAATGGCAACATGTTACTCCATAGACATAGTTTTAGAGATTCTATGCCATCAGTCATTTGGAGAGATCATCATCATCATCCTCGTTTCAATCAAAATCCTCATAGACAAGCACCTATTTCATCGATTCATAATGGCAGTAGCCATATTTATCCAAATCTAGTGTATGAAACACCTATATCACCACCTTGTCGATATTGTACGATTTCAACTACCAATCATTATCAACCACATCCTCATCCTCATTCTCATCATAATCATCACCATCGGCAACAACAAGGAGTTAAAAGTGCTAAATCCAGACATCGACAAATGAAACCATGATTTTGAACAATTTTTTAACCCGTTGCGTGCATACTCAGAAAAAATAAATTGGATGATGTTTGGCCGAATGAATCAGCATTGAAGATATAACCCTATGGCACACTTTGGCAATCGCAGATGGAGAAAAAGAATGAATATGAAAATTCAAACACGGTGAATATGAAGAGAAAAGATTCGCATAGCGGAAGAGAGAAAGAAAACACTTTTGAAAAAAATTTTCAATTTATTCAAACAAACAATACAAACAAAAATATAAGACAATGAATGTTCTCTATGATACACCATATGTTTTCGTTAATAACGATGGTGGTAATGAAGCCATTATCATCTGATTTGTAATCTCTACAATGACAAGATCATCATTATTATCATTATTATGAATGTTTTTCGATTCACAATCACCATCATCAACATCTTCATCATTATTATCATTACTATTTTGACATTTTTGTTGTTTTTGATGTTGAATATTTGCCATTGCAATAATATGATGATATTTATCACATTTAATCATTTGTTGTTTTTTTATATTAACCATATAGATATTATTATCATTGGCCAACAATAATGAATTATTATTTTTTGTAAATGCAATCTGTTTGATTGTCCAATGTTCATTATAGCTACGGCTTTCTTCATTTTCATTTGATTTGAATTTATTTAACATTAATGTTCGACATTGTCGTTGATTATTTAAATCATATTCGATTAACATTGAATTTGGAAATGATAACCATAATGTTTTTGTTCGATTATTGATTGCCAATGAACATGGTCGTTGATGAGCAAAATTTGTTATTGTATAAAGTGAATCATATGTTGAATGATTCAAATCATAAACAGTAATATTATTATCATCAGTCAATATAATCATTCGATTTTCGGTTGATAAAATTCTAACAATTCTTTTTTGTTGATAAGAAATGCCGGAATATTCCAAAACAATACCGAATCTATCCAATTTAAATATATCGAAATTATGACCATAGCTTATGACAACATAATCATCATTTATTAATCGAATATTCGATATATTTGAAATTGGATCATGAAGTATTTTGATTCTTTTAATTTTATCTTCTGTCCATTTTATAGCTTTAAATGTTTGATAATTAGCATAGATTATCCATTCAGAATTCATATCGAATGCAATGATTGGTTTACGAGATTTTATATCCAATAATTTTGTTGCTTTTTCCGAAAGTTTAAGACGTGTAACCATCGACCACGGCGATGATGATGATGATGAATCGAATTCGTCAATGGTTTCAGCATCACCCAGGCGCCATATTTGAACAAATTTATCATACATTAATCCAATGAATGAATTTTGTTCATTTGTTGTGAATGAACATTTTTGATAAAGATTTGTCAGGTAACTTATATAAGTATTTGAATTGATAGAAATCTGTGATAGAAAACTATCGATACCACCGCTAATCAATAGATTTCGATTGATTAACATTGAACGTATATCATGATTATGTGGTCGTCGTTTATGTGAACAAACCCATGTAGTTATTTGTGGACCATGACAACGATTAAATTGAACAATAGTTGGATCAACACCGGCCGCAAAAACAATATCTTCATCATCCGAATTACATAATGTTAAAACATCTGCACGATGTGAATTATATGATTGAATCAATGTAACTGTTTTGCCATTCCAAAATGATACAGTACCATTAGAATCACCAGTAATAATGGTAAAATCTTTAAGTACTTTTAAACACCAACAAACAATTCGATTGTTACCGATACGAATAAAATCAATACATTTTCCTTGTCGATAGCTATAGATTTTAACAAAATCAATACTACCAGCAATTAATAATAGATTCGTTGAATCCATATCTTGATGATGCCATTGTAAACAAAGAATACGATTATCATTTTTTGGTACACTTTTTTCAAATTGTAAACAATCATCAAACATTTTGAATATAGTGATGAAACCTTTTTCAGTTCCAACAGCAATCAATTCGTTATCGGAATCGATTGTCATACACCATGCTGGATCAGAATTAACACAATAAGATCTTGCAATTCTACCATTTGATAAATCATATTCATTTAGATAGGAATTTAATCCACAGGAAAAAAGACGTCCAGATTTTGACCATGCAATTGCTTCCAATAGATTTGATTGATCAGGATCTTCATGTATTGTTTGTTCAAGATACCAGGCTTTTTGTTTAATATTCCATATTTCAATAATACTTGGCATGTCATTTTTTGTCGGATTATGTTTACGTACCGAACGCCTAAGCAATGCAAGTTTACCCAATTTTTCATTAAAATCAATACAATTTATCGATGTTGGTTCATAATAGAAAAATCGAATTCGATGGGTAAGTAATTGACATGAAGACATTTGCTCACGCTTTTATAGTTTTTGGAAGCACAAAATACAACAATAAATTAAAATTATTTTATTAAAATTGATGAATTTAAAAGAAAAAAATTGTATAAAACACAGAACACGTGTGAGAATATTTACAAAAAAGCATTCTTGTCCTAAAGATTTGTAAATTTTCCATAAATTGTTTGCTCGTTTCGATTCTAAAATCAGTGCTGCCATCCTTTTTCATGATGACATCAAGTGGCACATTTTCAAAAAAAAAAAAATTGTGAAATCAGTGGTGCCATCTAGATTATGATGAAATTGACCAATTATCATTATCATGTCTTTCTATGTAACTGCAATAAAATAAAGTGTAATGATTAAGATTATTATACAGGTTTTTTTTAAAAGAAAAAATCGTTATAAATTAATTTTGACATGATGATTATCATCTTTATCATCATTAAATGCTGGATTTTGATTGGTTGTTTGAATTGTTTGATGATTATTTTCCATTAAACAATCTCGTAATAATGATTCCGTTTCCTTTTGTAATATAATGGCCATTTTTTCATTATTATCATCATCATCATCCAATAATGAATACGAAGATCTTTCTTTTTCTTTTTCCCCGATAAAAAAAAATGAAACAGAAAAAAATGAAAAAAAACGAAACGAAAATGAAATCAAAATCAAACAAAACAAAACAAATCATAACAAAAAAAAATTAAAAGGGTCTGAAAATTTGAAATTTTGCCGCTGACATCACCATAACATGTTGTTTTTTTTTCGAATCAAAGATCAGATACAGCAACAAAAAGAGAAAGATGAAAAGTGAGGGAAAAAAATTTCTTTCTAAAATCTACAGTTACACAGACACAATGAACAATTTTTGTTGTTAAAAGACAAAAAAAAATTTATTCTAAGTTTTTTTTGCTACTAAGAAAATTATTTACAAAAAAATTTTTCTTCAAGAAAATACAAAAGAAAAAAAAACAAAACAAACAATTCTTCATTTGGGGAAAAAAAGAGAAAAGAGAAAGGAAATTCATCATTGGTGTGTGGATGTTGATGTGTGTGTATGACTTCATTAATAATAAGAAAGTTAGAAGAAATATTGAGTAGTAGGAAATTAAGAAGACAAACAAAATTCAAACATTGATAATTGGAAATTATTTGAAAAGTGATAAAATAATAGAATTGGCTACAGGTAAAAGTTCAATGACAATGTTGATGAAGAGCAAAGATATGATCAAATCATCATCATTATCATCATCTTCTCACCAAACTAAATAACAACGAGGAATATTTTTTTTTTAAAGATATTGTGATTGTGTGTCTTGTGTTGTGTGATTTGTTTTTGCTCATTCGATGACATTCAATGAAACACCAACCAAAAAAGAGAGAGAGAGAAGAAATTATATAATAAAATTATAGAAGAATATAAAGAACAAAAATTAATTATGAATAGAAATAGATAATAATAATAATAATGTATCGATTTTTTTGTTTGTTTTTTAATTATTTTAGATTGGATGTCAGCGGCGTAAATGATTTCCAGTTCGTTGCCTTGTTCCATATTGTTGCCTACCGTTTGTCGTTGTTGTTGTTGTTGCTGTTGTCGATGTTGGTGATGATAATGATGATGATGTTGAAATATTTGTTGACATTTCTTTAGGTCGAATTGTCAATATAGAGACACGTAAATATTTTGCAAGCTGCCGACATGTTGAAAAACCAAAATAAGTAAAATCCAATAATATATAAGCCTAAAATTAAAAAAAAAACAATCATCATCATTATCATCATCAGAAAACCGAAAAAAAACACTTACAAGTGCAACCCAAAGCATTATTAATTCATCAAAATAGAAATTAAAATATTGATTGAAAAATAATATCAAAGGACCAATGAATATGGTATCCATTTTTGACATTTCACTTTTACTCATATGAGCAACCTGAAAATTTGAATAATTATATAATTTTTTTAGAGGAATTCAATTCATGAATATAATATGAAATTAGATTCATTCACATACCACAAGTTTACATGTTATTTTTGCACATACAAAACCAAATGTAATAACATAGATGGTAATATAATCGACAAATGCATTGCTCATCGATTTGGAATAGATAATCAATGTAAATGAATAGACCAACATTAAAGGAATTATTGGTGATAGAATTGATGTACCCTGTTTTTGTTCATGTTATTTGAATTTAAAAATGATGAATAATTGAAATAAAGAATATTCAAAAAGAAAACTTACAGCAACTGTTGAACCATTTTTACCCGCACCACCAGATAGAATAGATTTGAGATCACGTACAAATAGATAACATTCATTGCCGGCAACACCAATCATTGCAATCATTTTAAGTTCAACACCAAAAATCTGTTCAAAGAATCATTTTATAATCGAAAAAAATTTACAGAAAAAAATATAAAATATTACCTTGTTACTCCAAAATGATAAACCAAAAATAGCTGATATTAAATGCATCGTAATTATCGTAAATTGTGCTTCGGTTACGTCAAAGAAACCAAATTTCAATGTGCCAGAAACATATGTCTGCCAATGGGCAATATAGAATAGACTAGTTGCACCAGCACATAATATAACAATCCAATTAGGATAATGACCAAGTTGTACCGTTAAACATACAGATAATGAAACAAATACTATAGTTTTTTGAAATAAATAAATAAATTTTGAACTAATTAAAAAATTTCAATATATTACTTGTAGAAATTGCATCACATCCATGATCGAAAAGTTCGCCTAATGATGAACTTGTTTTAGTACGACGTGCCTGCTTACCATCGCAAGCATCCAATGTTTGATATATAAATAAACCAATGGCAGCCAATACTAATGCATATGGTGGAATATCTTGTTTTGCATCCGGACTATAATAAACCAACAATGAACAAGTCAATACATTGACAATTAAACCGACAAGTGTCATTGAATTTGGTGCCCACCATTCCGGTATACAATAATCAATACACCATCTCCAAAATTTTTGCATTATACAATCACACATTGTACTACCCGTTGCTGAATATTTATGATCACCTAGCCTGTTAATTAAAAATTCATGATTAGTTTTAGTAACAGAGAATAAACAAACAAATCAAAAAACCTTTTTAGCTTAGCATCACTAAGCTTTTCACAAACAACATGTGATGCAGAATTAAGCACGGTTTTACATCGACCGGCCATTTTTGTTACAATGTTATGTTATTAGATTTGGCTGTTGTAAATAATGATGATGACAATAACAATAAGAATGTTTCAATCAATCAATTAACATTTGATGACAAATGAATCTATAAATGAGATCAGATAAATTATAAGAAAAGGAAAAAATTATTAATTTGCAAACGAAAAAAATTACAAATTTTACATTTTATTTTCAGTGTCTATTTTGGAATGATTTTCAATGAATGGATAACATTTTTTTTCAATTTAATAACAATAACAATGATGATGATGATGACGTTGGCTTTAATTTATTTAATATTTTATTCAATCAACATTGATTTAATGAATAATAATAATAATGAGGATTATCATTCAAAAAATCAATATGATATCAATCAAATTGAGAGTTATGGGAATTAACTTCCAAAACTATATAAATGATTATTTGTTTTATGAACAAAAAAAAAGACTACGATTAAAACATTCAATACACATAAAGATTACATATTAATGATGACTAAATGGGGCAAAGAAAGAAAGAAAAATCTGGTAAGTAAAAATTGATTTGGAAAAAAATCATACGATTTTTTTCCTCCTCACTCACTCACTCATTCACTCGATTTTCACTTTATCAGTATCATTCGATATTTTTTTTTTTGGTTGCAATAATTATTATCTATCGTTTTTTTTGCAGAACAGATAGAGAAAATGATACTCATGTCACACGTGTGTGTATTTATGTATGTTTATGGATAGTGTGGTTTTTTTCCTGAAACAACCATTGAGAAAATATCCGGTATAAATATACCACAAACACTTACCTAAAATTAAACCAAAAGTAAATTTAAACAAACAGAAATGTTTTGTTTTGTGTCTTGAAGGTTAATCCAAATACATCAACACACACACAAACAACACGTTGGTTTGGTTAATGAAAATTTCATTGATTTATTTTTTTTTCGCTGCTAAAAAACAAAACAACAATGAAATCATTATCAAACAAATAATTTATCACTTACAAACTAATTATTTAATTGTGCTGATTTGGTAATTTATTATTATTATTGATAAAAAATACCCAAAACAAATTTTTTTTGTCGAATGGTTTTTTTGCTTGTTTGTTGGTATTTTGTTGTTGTCGTTGTTTTGTCGCATTTGCCGAATCAGCCGCTCATGACGTCATATGGATTTTTTTTGGTAACGTTGTTTATGAACAGGTTGATTTTATTTTGATTTTTTTTTGATTTGAAAAATTTAAAAATAAAAAAAAATTTCCCGCAAATTTTTTTAATTGAAAAAAATTGATTCATTTTTATTTAAGTAAAAATCAAAACTGATTTGATGAAAAGAAAATAAAAAAAATATCACATATCATTCGGAGTGTAATGTCTAATGGGTGTTTGTGTGTGATGTGTGTCGGTGTATACCACATACAAATGGCATCAAATCGAATGAAAGAAAGAAAAGAAAGAATTTCAAATTGAATATTTGGAAAAAAATGGCATTGAGTTCTGTTTTGTTTATAGTGGAACAAAGAATTTTAAAAGGAAAAAACAAATGTTTAAACAAAAAGAAAATAAATAAGACAAATTGAAGAAAGAGATAAACATGTTTACAGAGAAACTATTTTTTTTTTGTTGATTACAATTCCGGCACCGATTCCCGATTCCCGATAATTGATTTTGATTTTTGATTTTTTAAAATTTGTTAATCGATCACAAATGAATGAATTTTGTTTGTTTGTTTGAATGAGCAAAATTATTGAACAATTAGAGTGGTAATTTGATTGATTGTGATGAGAATTTAGCCAAAATTTTCAAATTGATGTATAAAATATGGTAATTTTCGACGATTATTAACAGTTTCACATGCTTTACTTATTGATTTTGTCATTGCTGATGGTCCACAGCTAAAAACACCTACTTTGCTTACCTAGAAACACACGAAAAAATTAGTAAAGATTTTTGTTTTTGTTTTTTGAAGAAAAAATAACACCTACATATGAATGTTGATTTTGTACAAATTTTAAAAATGCATTCATATCTGGTCGACCAAAATGATTAATAGCTTTCAGTCCGGTAAACATACTACGATTTGATATTCGTTGAAAATGATTTTCACATATATACTATGTTAACAAAAAAAACAATTTAAAAGAAAAATTATCGACTAATTAAACAGAATAAATTTTAGCAAATCTTACCAACATTGTTGTACGTAAATCAAATTTATGAAAAAATTGTGTTATAAAGATATGTACTTCTAAAACCTGTGTAACATCTTTACGTTCAACATCACGTAATACATCGATAAACCATTCAAAATGACGATGTGATGGACAAATCCAAAGAAAATATACCTATTTTTCATTGGTAATTTCAAAAATGAAATGAAAAATTTCAATCAAAATTTTTTTTTTTCAAAACAAACCTTTTTACAAGCAACACCGGAATATCGATTTGTCGATGTACCAAATACAAGATCATTTAATATGGATGCATATGGTGTTACACCGATACCACCACCAACCATAACAGCAACTTCATATTTATACCAATCTTGATTACCACCACCAAATGGACCTTCCAAACGTATTTTTGGTGGCGGTAAATCCGGTATAATATTAACTAAATTATTTGGATCAAAATAATTTCGTAATTTCCATGTCCATGGTCCTTGTGCTTTAACATGAACAGAAAGATAATTTTCATGCGGTGCTGATGTTAATGTTAATGAATGATATTCGCTTGAACGAAATGCAGTACAAGATAAACGTATCCATTGTCCAGATAAATATTTAAAATTCGGTGGACGTGAAAATTTTACTTTTGTTACATCTAGAAAAAATGGATAGTAAAATACATTGAAATAAAAATGAAAATAATTTCGACCTTTCACGCATACCTGAAGGTAATAAATCAGTTTCCAATATATCCAATTCCATATATTTTGTTTGAAGGCTAACAATTTTATCCAATACAAATATAATACCCGGTACAATGAAAAAGAGCCAAAATTTTGGAGGCTATTATTAATAGGAAAAACAAATAATGAATATTATGCAAAATTCAAACTCGAATGATATTTACCCCAGTAATTTTTGCTAATCCATGAATAAATGTAAACAAATACATTAAGATATACAAAGAATGTGTTGTCCAAAAATAACTATATGCTTTTTGTCTGATTCTTGGATGTGCAAAAATGAATATAATCGATACAATCAATACAAGTAATATACCAGTCAAACCGGTTACAGTACCAAATATCCAAAATGAAAATGTTGGTTTTGCATCTGATTCAAATTGTAATTCTTTTGTTAAGCAACGTAAATGTTCAACAGGTTGTGTTGAAACATGATAAAAATTAACACAATGACCAATCGTATGTAATACTAAGAATGGGAAAATAAACGAAGATGATTATAATAAAAATCAAAATAAATATATAAATACCGGTAAAAAATAGACCAGTTAATGCAACAATTTTATGAAATTGTACATGTGAATCTAATGGGATATATTGATGAATAGGCATTTCACGAATTTTTGTCATTAGATTACGACACATTGTTAATAATAATAATGAATAACAAAATGATAATGATGCAGCTGAACCACGTGTAACAGCAATACCATAACCCATTACATGACGAAGATCAGTATGTTCACTTAAATGACTATATGTTATAAAACGTTCTAAAAATAAAACAATTGTTGTTACAAAAAATATTAATAAATAAACAATTGGTTGTCGATTTTCTTCCAAATAAGTAATAAAATGATTCCATTTTTTAAGCAAAAACATTGGTTCTGGATCTGGATATGGATTAATCTGGAAGCTTGTCATTCTGGCGATATTTGTTGATGTATCAAGAAAATTTTGTTTTGCACCTTTACAATCTAAACCGATTGCAATTAGATCACCACGATATTCACTCATCATAAGTTTAAAATCATCATATGTTAATTCATCTTTATCATCAAGGCCAGCTGATGCAAACATTCCTTCAATTAATTGCATAACTTCATTTTCAGTCATTGAATTTGTTTTAGCAATATCGACTAATGATCGTAACATTTTTGTTAATTCATTTTTATCGATAACACCATTACCATCATGATCACACATATCGAATATAATACGTAATTTACTATCAGTTTTACCACGTGTAAATAGAACAACTGTATCAAGAAATTCTTGAAAACTAATACGACCATCATGATCTTTATCCACACAACTGAACATTTGTTTAACAAATAATGAATCCGGTTTCATTCCCAATGCTTCGGCAAATTCTTTTTTTGATAATGATGTACGCATTACCATAATAACATCATTACTAACATCTTCAAATTTACGTTTTTCGCCCGGTTTCAAACCAAATGTTAATGCATATGCTTCACGAAAAAAATGTTCCAAACGTTTTTGTCGTTTTTCTTTAGTTTCAGCATTGGCTAACATTATATCACGATATGTATGTATGATTTCTAATGTTTTCTTATGATTCAATAGAAATGATTCAAGTTTGGTTAGAAATTTTTTTCTTGAACCATTATTATCGAATTGTAAAACAAGATCATGATCACGTAATGGACGTAATAATATCATTGGTTTATTTGAATCTTGTGATACTTCTACTAATAATGATGATGCTTCATGTATATCGATTTTTCTTAATGTTTCACCTTTACGATTTACAGTCGATACTGATTGATCTGGTCCAATTTTTACTTTTACATAACGTTTATGATTATGATGTAACCATTCACGTACATCTATAAATGAATGAATGAATGAAATTTGATTTTTTGATTTTTCATCAAATGATCATCAATATTGTTCAATATTGTACACTTACATAATTTATCATAATTTTTCTTTTGTGACATTTCTCTTTGCTGTTTAATTTTACGTCGTCGACGATTGTTTAGTTTGATAACACCATATCCAACAACAGCGACAACTTCAAGGAAAGAGATAGAAGAGGGGAAAAAGAGAAATTAGGGCAAATATTATTTCGTGGAAACTTTTTCAATAACAAAAAAATAAATTACTTACACATCGGTATAAATGTAAGTAATAATATAACCATTATATAGGGTAATTCACTGCCATGAAAATAATTCCAACCGGCTAGTATTAAACAATTTTCAAGATTTTTACTTGTCATTTGTCGTGGTTGTGGACATGGATCATCTGGTCGAAATAAAAATAGGTCTTTTTGTACAGCATCCGATGGTATATTTGTTGCATTGACAATAATATCCCATAATTTTATTTTACGTATTTCTTCAATTTCTTCATCACTAAATATACCATTATGTTTATTTTCAAACCAAAATCGATCTGCATTACGAATACGTAAAAATTGTTCACGTATAATGGCACGAAATAATGGCCCTGGACGACCAGTATCTAATTCCGATTCAACCATACCGCCAACATAAACATCAACATTATCTAGATTATTATCATATAAACGTGATAATGTTTCAAATAATTCTGGTGCTTTTTCATATAATAATGGATTAATTTGTGACCAATTTGTAACCGGTTGAAAATTAAAATATTTTCTTATTGTATTATAATCGGGTAGACCATTATCACGACCTCTCATTATATTCAATGCGGCTAGATCACGACGTGAAAAATCTAATGGTCCAAATAATTTATCTATACGAGAAAAATAAAATTGAATGAAAAAAACCATGAAAAATTAATGATTTCCAAAAAGGAGAAACACAAAAATTATAAACAATTTCCGTTTATAATGGTGATAATAATATTGGTGAAAATAAATCATGTGTACAAAGTCAAGGTTTATGTGATCAATCAATCAATCAATCAATCAATTGAACGTAAATTAATCATTTAAAAAATCATTTTAGGATATTTAAAAAAAAGAAAAAGAAAACATCACCTAAATCATCATTCATGGTCAAATATGAACATTTAACAAATGAAAAAAAAATCAACCAAATGGTTTCATTATCATTATCATTATCATCATTATGATGATAATGATTATCATATATTGATTATCATTCGAAAATGAAAAAAAGAAATTAAAATCCGGCTTATAATCAAATAATGATTGAAAATACAGGTAAACGAAATATGTATTTTTTTTCATTTTCAAGGCCTTTTTAACACCACACACACACACACACATCAAACACAAACTTTTAATCATTCATTGTGGTTTTTTTTGAACAAAAATAATAATTATATGATGATCATCATTATATACCACCACCAAAATATAATGTATATTAGTGTATTGAAAATTCTAAATGTGAATATAAAAATTGTCAATGATAAATCAGTGTAAACTTTTTTTCTTTTTTTCCATGAATGAATTGATGGTAGAAACCATCATCATCATGTCAATATTCAATCAAATCGATAAATGTACCGTTTCATTCTCGATGATCATGATGATGTTGGTGATGATGATAATGATCATCATTATCATTATCATTATTAGCCGGAAAGTGTAGAAACAAAAAAGTCTAAAACATTTTGATTAATTCAAATTTTTCATCGCTCAATTTCATCATTATCATCATCATCATCAGATTCTGGAATGACTCGAGGTCGATTGCTTGTTCAATCATCATCATCATCATCATCATCACTATGCACGTGTTTTGTGATATGCATATCTTTCACAATCAGATTGTCAAAATATAGTAATAACGACAACAACAACAACATCAAAAATTCATTCACCACCACCACCAATTTAATGTTGTTGTTTTTTCTTTTCGATCCAGTCAGTCGCCCAAACAAACAAATAAATAAATACTACCGCTACACACCATCATCATCATGCATGCATATTGATAATCTTGACCTCATTTTCATATCTCTTTACGATTTTTCATTTTTCATTTTCATTTTTCAGTTTTCTCCCTTCCTTACTTCAAAGATCGGATTGAATTGATTTGGATTTCTCTCTTTATCTTGCTTTGTGTATGGATTTTTTTTCTTCTTCCCTCAATGTTTATTGATCAAAAGTAATTAAACAATGATGATGATAATGAGGAGTTATTCAAAAAATTTGAATTTAATTTTTTTTTGTTTTTGAAAAATTTTAATTACGATGACAATGATTTTTTTGTTTTCAAAGTTCGGATATCGAAACATCAATCAATCAATCGATCAATGATATCATCCTTGTGTATGGATAATAATCAATTGAGATATGTCGATCGATTCAGAATCAAAAAACATTTCATCACGTGGATTCCATGGGAATTTTTTTTTGCTCTCCCTGTCAATCAGTTAATTTGAAATCTCTTTTTATAAATATGAAAAAAAAAGAATTGAATTAAATTTTAGCCTTTCGGTTTCTATCTATGTTTGTCTGTGTTAAGCTATTGAGACATCCATTATGTTTTTAAAAGATATATAATCGTTGACCATCAAATGGATGTTTTTTTTTCTTCTATCTTTTGATCATCGTGGGCAGCATTAATGATGATAATAATGATGTAACACACTACTAGACACAAGGAATGATGCAATTCGATGATTTTTTCTCACTCTCGTAATTTACATTTTTTTTCTGTTGCTGTTCCAAGTGGAAATTCAGAAATAAAAAAGAAAATAAGCAAATCGACCTTTACACATCATGGTTACCATCATCATCATCATCATCATCATCGATGTAATAATCGTTTCACCGGAATTCAGCAACAACAATAACGATGATGATGACGATGATGGCCATTATTAAATTAAATTTAATTATGTTTTTTGTGTTTGGAGAAAAAAAAGATCAACGACAACATCATCACAAACAATACGATTTCAGCGAAAACTTCTCCCCTTGAAAATCAATTGTATGTCAGTCAATTTTCAAATTGGTCCATCATTTTTTTTTTTTTTTTTTTTTGATTTCTTTCGAATGTCAATCATCATCATTATTATCATTTGAAAATATTTTTAAAGGGAAAGAGAGAAACGGAAGTGACTATATACACAATCACAATAACGAAGAAGAAAAATGAAAAAATGACCTATGTGTGTGTGCAATTTTCATTGTGTTATTGACAAAAAAAAACATATTTCATTTTTTCTCTAAAGTTTTTTCAATTTTTTCCCATTTTTTAAATGAAAAAAGAGGCACTTTACATAGGGATTACCCAGGAAAAAAATTAATAATTTTTTGAAAATTTTTTTAATAGAAAAAATTTAATCAAATAATAACCCTTCGAAATAAAAGGTGTTTGTGATTTGAATGAATTTTCAATCAAGATGAACAAATTAAATTAAATTTGTAATCACAATCTTGAATCCATTCAATCAATCAATTCCTAATTATTATGTAAAATTCAATTGATTGATTCTTCTTCTTCTTTTTAATACCCATCAATCAATGATGTTTACTTGATTGATTGATTGATAAGATAATCAATTATTGGGTAATTACTATATACATAATCATTATAATCAATCACATTACCAGAAACACATAATAATCAATCACATCAATCAATCAATTTAAGTACTTTCCCTTTCTCTCTCTCTTTTTTTGATTGAAAAAAGTGAAAGTCAATGGAAAACATACCTCTTACATCCGAACAAAGAACAGCATCTTCACGTTCAGCTATCTGTGATGATAATCCCATTAATAATTCTTCTAGGCCAGCATTTGGTAGAATATCCTTTGATTTATTAAATTAAAATTAATTTAGTTTAATGAATTTTATTAATCAATTTTTTTTTAATAATAAAAAAACTTACAACTGCATCCCACCATGTTGAACAAAGTCTTATGCCATCATGTCCATTTGTTGTACGAAGAAAATTACATTGTGCATCACGACGATAAAGACCTGGTGGTATCATTGTATGACCAAAACGAAATGCAGCCGATTGAAAGACATGACTAACACCAGGATGTATATCCGGTTTATAACCATCATATGGTGGCATTGGTTCATCAAATAATGTTTCCAAATATTCATACATTATTATATTCTATGTTTTAAAAGGGAAAAAGAGGTAAATTTTTTTAAAAACTCATTTTCTTTTTGCAAAATATTACTTGTAGACTAGCAATGACCAGACGTCTAGTACGTTGAAATACATCTTCATCAGACCAATCAGGATGTTCATTTTGTACACGATTAGCTAATACATTATGCCAACGAAACATAACAACACCTAATGCTAATATAACTGGATTTTGATTTGTACGTGGATCACCCAATACTTTGATAATTTAAGATTGATTGAAATTGATAATCACGAATAAGAAAAATGTAGCAAAAACAAAAACCATTGACTTACAGAACATTCTTTCCGGATGTACCATACGTAAATGATGTGCAGGTGGTGAATTAATTAATGGTACACGATCTTCATTACGTGGTGGAAAAAGACCAGTATTATCGGTACGAAATGTACCATTTTGAAATGTACGCATTGAATTTAGCCATGTTTCCGATGTACTATATATAAAACTACCATCAATCCAACTGGTTACTTGATTAAGCTATATAATATCAATTTGGAAAATGAAAAATCAATTATCGATTGATTTGAATTCAAAAAAGAAAAAATAAGAAAGAATTGCAAAAAAAAAACAAACAAACAAACATTAAACTTATTTCATTGTCATAACATTGAAATCAAACACACTATATAATTTTCGTACATTATCGTATCGTTTATGGGAAAACAACAACAACAATAAACTGATTGATTTTTGGTTTCCCAAACAACAACAACAACAGCAATCTTATTTGAAAAATAAATAAATAAATAAATGGTTTGTGTTCCTGGCATCCTGTATTTCAAGTTCATTCCATTCATAAGATTATTATTATTATTATTATTACTTATGATCAAAATGTAAATAGAAAAGGAACAAATAAAAAAAACAGACATTCAAATGATGATGATCAATAGAATATCAATGGAAATTGTCAAACGATATTGTTTTCTTTTTCTTTTCCGAAAATCATTGACAAATGAGAAACAAATTGCCAATCATCATCATCATCATGACTACTATCATTATGGCAAACCAATCAAACAATTTAAATTTAAATTTTTTAAAAAAATTGTTTTCCCGCTTATTACAGATCAATGTCTCTCTTGATTTGAAACAGATTTTGTTGTTGTTGTTGTTGAAAAAAATGACAATGAAAATCAATTGATTGTAATATGCAAATGATTATAACTCGAAAAAAAATTCAGGAAATTAAGAAAAAAAAACAATTTTTTTTTCTCGATTTCAAACTATTGCATCATCATAATCATCGTCATCATTATTTGATTATCAACATAAATCCATTATTCATGGTCATCATCATTCGTTTTTTATTGAAAAACATTGTTCCAAAAAAAAAGTAATGAATGATAACGACGCACAAGTTGATCCAATCATTAAACAAACAAACAAAGATTTCAAAGATTTTTTACATGCACTAAAGAAATCAATATACCCATCATTCATTCATTCTTCACACTTTTTCCTACCATAATGATGCTAGATAATTAATGCTGGATCAATATCTGTTCAGCGGAAAAAAAACGAAACAAAATGATTCATCATTGATTATTCATTAATACGGTATCTGTGTGTTTATTAATCATTCAATTTTTTTTCTGTTTGAAGCGATCCAAGAAATGTATGTTCGCTGTTGTTTGTTGTTTTTTTTTTGTTGCCGAAAGCATTTAGCAATCTATTTAAATATTTGTATGTATTTCATCAGGAAAATAAAACAAAAAAAATGAAGAGAAAAATTCAACAAAATACATTGTGTTGTCCTTCATTCTATCATATTACCGACGACAACATTATCATCATCAATGAACAATTTCTCTGTTGAATTCATGATGATGATGATGGTGGTGGTTAAAAAAATCATAAATTAATAGAAATTGCTTTTTTTTCAGAGAGTGTTTAAAAATTGTCTGTACATCATCAATATCGACAGAAAAATGTCAAAATATTATTGATGATGATGATAAACATTATAAACACACACATGCATTTTAAATAAAGAAATATACAAAAGAAAATAGAAAAACAAAACAAAACAAAACAACATACCTGTTCACGTGGATTATTAGGTGATTGACCAGTACGTTGATCATATATAGCACGATGAAATGGCATTGTACGTCCACCATGACAATCTCTATCAAACATTTCATCACATTTAGCAATTTTAATACGATGTAATTCGATTGGGCAACCAGGCTCGCTGGCCATCAATATTTCCGATGATACTACTTGTCCTGTTTTTTTTGTTTGTTTGTTTGTCCAAATTGAGAAATAGATGAAAGTTTTCAAAAAAAAAAGAAAGAGAAAAATTAATAAACTTTTTGAAAATGAAAAACAAATATAGAAAAAAAAACCATCATTGAATAAATAATTTGACCACCACCACCACCACCAATCATAAATTGATTCTAATTGATCAATTCGATTGACCTTAACCTAATGGTGTTATAATCATAAATGAATATTGATTGAAAAAAATTTTTGTCAAAAAATCTAGTTTTCGACACTATTTATAGCATCACACTTTTCAAAAGTGGATTTCGATTAATAAAAAAATGAGTGTTGAAGACAAGAAAATTGATTCCAAACAACATCAACATTGATGACATTGAACCATCAACAACTCTTTTTTTTCTTCTGCAACAAATCTTCTTTCATAACAAACAAAAATATTATCATCACTGAAATTACTTATTACATAAATGATGGAAAATAATCTTTCGATTAATATGAAGGTTCTGACTGACTAAATGATTATGATGACATAAATGCATAATAGACTTTCAACAATCAACAAACAGCAAAAAAAATTGAATTTGAAAAAAGGAAGGAAAAAAATGAAATGAACTTTGAACTGTTTTTCTCTCGAATAAAACTATTTTGGAACGATTCTTGTTTTGTTTGTTTGTAAAGAAAACCTATGTGCATTTCATCACATTCTTACATAATCAATGAGGATTTTTCACTTTCTCGTTTAATAATCATTGATTTTATGAATGAATGAATGATTAAGATAAAAAACAAAAACAACAACAAATTAGTTGTTAAACATCATCATTTAGTTTTTTAAAAATAAAAATAAATTTATGTTATATAACATAAATATGCAATGATAAGCGGATAGATAACAACAACAACAACAACAAA